GCGTGACCATCGTATTACCAAATACCAATAACTAATTTTTTTTTTTCACTCTTGTTTGTTTTATTCACGTTTATTCAGAATAAATGGCCTGTATTTCTTAACTAAAATACATATTTTACCTTGATTATTTGACAATAAACTGCTTGTTTACTTCTTTTAAAACTAATTACACACACTTTACCTTTGTTTTTTAACTTACAATTGTGTATTATGGAAAAAAACATTCAAGACGCCAAATTAGAAGCTTTGTTGGAATATGATAGTGCGGAAGAATTTTCTGATACTGACAGGTTAAGTAATAGAGATTTTCTTAGGTAGTTAGAATATATCTAATGATATTAGCTATGCCTTTTGTTACTATAGTTTAAATGGCATGTCCGATAATGAATATGAAATTGAAGATATTGCCGAAGGGAAGGAAGAGGAGGAAGAGGAGGAAGAGGAGAAGGAGGAGGAGGAGGATACTATGAAGCTTTATGTTGGCAAGACCTTTCATAATTGGAATAGTGTAGCAAATTTTATGAAAAAATACGCTGCTACCAAAGGCCATGGAGTAAGAATTGGTGGAGGAGGAAGGGTAGATAAAACAACACAAGAAATAACAAAACGAACATACTTGTGTCGCCATGCTGGAAAAGCTAAGTCCAAATCATCGAAAAGACAAACTTCATCTTGCCGAGTTGAATGTCCATGGAGAGTAAATATTTGGGCAAAAAAAAGTAAAGGTTGTCTTGAGGTCACAACTTTACATGATCAACATGTCGGTCATGAGCTTCATCCATCAGCAATTAAATTTGTCCCTACATTACGAAAATTATCAGATGAGATTATGGAAGAAATTCGCTTTTTAACAGTTGTTGCTAAGGCAGATGCAACTATACAATATCGAATTATTAGAGAAAAATTTAAAATTAGAATACATAGACCAGATCTTTATAATGCTATTAGTAAATTTCGTCGTGAATCAACACCAGGTGAAGCAGATGCGGGAATCTTGCTAAAAAGACTCCACAAAAAAAAAATAGAAGATCCTCGATGGGTAGTCTCAATGAAATTAGATCCTATTACTTCTTCATTAACTCATCTTTTTTGGATGAGTCCAGAACAACAAATATTATGGTTACGTTATCATGATGTGATAATGCATGATAATACTTGTAAAACTAACCGTTATAATCGACCATTATCCATCTTTGTTACACCTGATAATAATTTGAAAACACGAATTGTAGCTCAGGCAATTGTTGATGATGAGACACAATTCTCATATGAATGGGTTTTTCAATGTGTAAAAGAGGCTACCGGTATATCGCCGAAAGTTTTTGTTACAGATAGTGATCCAGCAGTTAGTGGTGCTGTTGCAACACTATTTACTGATACTTTTCATATGCATTGTATTTGGCATATAGGCCAAAACTTGCCAAAGCAATTAAAGGGGAAGCTTGGATCTAATTTTGATAATTTTATGAAGGACTTTTACATGACAAGAAACAGTTTAACAGAAAAACAGTTTAACGAAAGGTATACTTATTGTGTTAAATTGTTTTACAAATTTTCTATTGTACTTACAATTTTGCCATTCCTACCATTGTTTTTTTATTGTAATTCCATTAACCTTTTCATTGTAATCATTAGACTTTGTCATTTTTTAATTAGACTCCATCATTAATTTTTTTGTTGTAATCACTAGACTCTATCATTGTTTCATTAGACTCCATTATTTTTTTATCATAGTCTATTCAAATTCTTCCATTGTTTTACAGTATATCATCTATTGTAGAATTTTGTTTATTGTGCTTTGAAATTAAATAAATTTAATTGTTCATTTGTTTATTGATTTTAATAGAAAGTATATTGTAATTAATTTATGTATTTGTTCATTCAATAAAAGGTAGGAGATATTACTACAGAATTACCCACAAGCTAAAGATTATTTGATAAGGTCTTTAGGATGTAATTTTCAATCATGGGCACGAGCTTTTACTAGCAAATATTTTACTGCTGGTGCACAAACAACTTCTCGCAATGAAGGTGAAAATTCAGTATTAAAACGGCTTTTTGGAAATTCAAACCTTTCATTATGTGAATTATTTGATGCATTAGAAGAGAGATATCAAGAAGAAGTTGACTATTGCGAATTCATAAATTGGCATCAAACTATACCTCAAATCAGACCTCAAAATGTATCAACATCTATTTTTGGACCAGTAGCGAAGCAGCTGAATGAATTTGTAATGCCAAATATTATGAAGAAGCAGGAGGAACAAATGGAACTAAGTCTTTATTATCATGCTGTGGAAATTGAGCTTGAAATTTTGCATTCTAAGGAAATGGTAAGACTTACGCTATTAATTTTAGCTTAATTTGCTTTCTAACGGCAATAATTTTTAAAAAATAATTTATTAACTACTACTTAGATACTTGACGAGTCAAATCAATGTATTGATAACCTATTTGATTGCCCACAAGTACAAATAAGTTTATTTTTAGAAGATACCTCATTGATTCTTGAAGTATGGGAGGTTGTATATTTAACAAGCCAAAAGACATCCCACTTTGTATGTCTTTTGAATAATGGTACCTTTCTCTGCACGTGTATGATCAACAAGACTCATGGTTATCCATGTCGCCATTTTTACCGTGTAATGACTCTTACGTCTACTGCTAGATTTCACATTGGTTTGGTAAACCAGCGTTGGTATAAAGATATACTTCAAGGGACTGATATATCAAATAAAGAATTTGTTGCCATTTCTTCAATGAAAATGTCGGCATTAAAGACGCATTCTCTGCCAACACAATTTTTGAATTCAAATGGATCTGCTATTCAAGTTGGAGCTTCGGCAATAAATACTGAAATAACTAAATCTATATCAAAAAAACGTAAGTTTGGAGAACTTTGGGGTTTAGGAAGAAAAGTAATGGTTGATGTAATTGAAAACAACAATGAGGATACTTACCGAGAACTTTGTGAGGTTTTTCTGTCAATTCAAAAAAAATTACAGCCAAGAATTGTTGTTGATAATAGTAATGGTGGTGTTAGTAACAGTAATAACAACGGCGAAAGTGATAATATCATGAATATTCGAAATCCTGTTGAAAGAAGGCCAAAAGGTCGTCCTAAATCAAACAAGAGAATGAAAAATACTTTAGAGTTATCTAATACTAAAACTCAATACACATGTAAATTGTGTAAACAAAAGGGACATAATAGCAAAACTTGTAAGGAAAAATTGGATAATGCTAATAAAGAGAATGAAGTGTTTGAAAGGTAAGCTTTATTCAAATGCGTTAATATGCTTCTAATCACATGTGATTTACTGTTATTATTACTATTAAAGCTAACGAAGTACAGTAGTACAGTATATGAATAAATCCAATAAAAAATGAGTCAAATTTCGTTCATGAATACCTATAATTGCTATTCAAATTACGGTTACAAATTATTATAAATGTCATAAAAATTAAAGTATAAAAATTACGTAGTACAACTAAAAAAAAATTTGAGTATCGCCATGGTGACGGGTCGTCAAATAATGTTACCCTAAAATAATATTAAATATTTAAACATTTTTTATAAAATAAAATATCTTTTCAAATAAAAAGCCATTAGAAATTAAAATTCATTATAGTAAGAAATTCACTATACTAAAGATTATTTTATTATATATAAAAAAAATCTGTACCTGAATTTTTTTTCATTATAGTAAATTATTTACTATATAAAACTTCCTTAATTTTCCATATTAGTATTTTAAAATCTATAATTATTTTATCTATTAACTGATTTAATACAATCATTACTAATTTTATATTTATGCAAAATATTAACTAATTTAATTTTTTTTTTTAATTTTTTATATTTAATATTTTAAACATTTATTATATGTAATAATAAATTATAGTATATATAAAAAAACCAAAATAAAGTATATATAATATATATTTAAAATTTTTGCTAATTTATATTATATTAAAATAAAAAATAATTATTTTTTAGATTGAATAATTAATTATACTTAATTCATTTATTATAATATATATTTAATGAATTTCTTATACAGTTAACTCTCTATAAATGCACCCTCTATAAATGTACACCCTCTTAAATACACCTTTTATCTAGTTTCAACTTAGGCTTTAATGCTAAATGCATGGTTTATATATATATATATTCTGTAAATGCATTCTTTACAAAAAAATTTTATATAGTTTACTTATAAAATTTTTGTATTACCTTAATTTTAAATTAATATCATATAAATTTATATGTATTCTATAAATGCACACTCTCTTTAAATGCACTCTTATACCTGATCCAAAGAGGTGTGTATTTATAAAGAGTTGACTGTATAAAGATTAAAGATATATACTAAAACTTAAAATATTTAAATATTTATAAAAATAAAATATTTATAAGTAAAATCCTATCTTTTATTTTTATATTATGTGATACTACTATTAAATATTAAAATATTAAGGTATTTAAAATACCTTAATACCTTTTTATTTTATTCATCATCATTGCTACTTATATTATTATCACTATTACTGTTACTTTCATCATCATCATCATCATTTTCATCATCATTTTCATCGTCATCATCATTATCATCATCATTATCACTTATCATCATTGCATCACTATCACTATCAACACTATCATCGCCACCACTATCATTATTACTACTATCGTGATTATCATTATCATCATTACTACTATCATCACCATCATTATCATCACCACCACTATTATCATCACTATCATCATCACTATCATTATCATTACTATCATCATCACTACTATCATTATCACTACTACTATCATCACTACTATCATCACTACTATTATCATTATTACTATGATTACTTAAGTTATCATTATCATCATTATCGCTACTACTAATATCATCTTCTGAATTGATAGTTGGAGCAGACTTTGGTCGGTTTGGCTTTTCGGGTATCTTATCTCTATACCTGTATAATAATTCATAAAGAATTTCTAAAAAAAAGAATGTTAGCAAGTATTTGAATAAAATATGAGTTGTTTTTAAATATAATACCTTGAAAGTCTTTCTCTCTGAAACCATTTACAGTGTATTTTAAATGACGCCAACGTTCACACAAGAATTCATGGGGCCTAAAAAATATAAATATTAAATAAAAGGAAATGAATCATGAATGATAAATATACAAAGATATTACCAAGGTCCCCATTCTTCATCTGCTAGATTGCCCCATTCTATCAAATATTCATCTGTCTCATTCAATTCTTTCAATCTTTTTAATAATTAAATTTAACATTAGAAATCTTTCAAAATTGTTTATATTTAAATCAATATAATATTCTTACCTTTTACAAAGCATATAACTGTCATAGCTAGTCCATCTTGTACCTCGATCCTCATCAAGTTCGTACCTAAGTCTCAATTCTTTAACCCACTTACTTCGACAAGAGAGTTCTGATCTTTTATATTCCATGGCTTCGGCAACTAGTGCCCACGGAATTCCCCAATCTAAAGTAACATTTTCATTATTTTGTTTGGAAATATCGACAACTATTTTTATTAACTGTTCTTCTTCTTCTTTTGACCATCTTCCTAAATATAATATATGATCATAGAATCATGAATTTTAATAAAACAAATATAGTATAATTTGGATAACAAACCTCGATTGTACTCGTCTCGATGCAAAAGGAAAATATCAAAACGTTCTCGACATATTGCTGGCATGCGTCTTAGTTGATTCCCTATTGTTGTCCAATCTCGTCCGTATATTTGGACAAGTCTATTTTCACATTATCATGTCAATGCTGAATAATGTTGAATATTATATGAACTATATATATCTTACCGTTTCAATTGTTCATCTTCTTCTTGACTCCATAATCCACGATAATTGAATTCATGATGATGACGCTGTATATGCTGTGCTACAGCTTTCAATGAACGAACACGCAGTGGAGCAGCTTTTATAAATCAAAGATTCTAGTTTTCATTAGCTACAATTTATAAAATGATATAAAATGTAATTAAAAATTACCTATTTCTTTCCAGAATGAGGCATGATCTTTTTCATTTCTGTAAAACATGAGATCCCGTAATTGATCATCGTTAAGATTGTGTCTCTACATATTTAAATCGATATCTTAGAAATCATCGAATGTGCATTAATTGAATTAAATAATAATAACAACATACTTTTTTGTATTCTTGTAAAGCTTTGTATAATGTCTCATTTTCTTGTTTAGTAAATCTTCCTTTCCTGTATTTTATTCCTATGAAATTCAATAAATTCAATGTTGGTTTTTTTTTTAAATTACCGAGCATGATTTGATATATTACCAAGTTCTTCACATGCGCTTCTTTCGAGCCATTTGGAGAACGGAGTATTGGTCTGTTGATCACTATTATTATTTCTTAACAATTCAATATTATCTTTTAACCAATCTCTTTTGGTTATCTTTCGTAATACTCTTCCCATTTTTTTTTCAAGCAAAAAGGCAGCAAAAATGATCCAATATTCATTATGATGACGTAATTAAATATGGCCTAATTTGGGGTCGTCTAAAGCCGTGTTCGATCACGTGATTTGTAAAAATTTATTTTTTACAAATAAAACTTTTTCGCCAATACATAAAACTTTCAAGTTAAAGTTTACTTAGTGCGCAACATGGGGTTTTGAACACCGTTTTTGACTTATTTGAATTTTTTCATTTTCGTCATCCATTTTTGGATATGATCGGCAAAGATTATTCATTCATATGTAAAGTCAAAAACAGTGTTTAAAACCAGCTTTTTTTCACTAAGTAAACTTGTAAAGCAGGCCAAAATACACTTATTCTATAACTTTCATACTTACATTAATCTTAAAATGTCAAGTCACATGATCGAACACGGCTTTAGACGACCCCCTAATTTGTCAATATGGCCAAATCTAGTATTAATAATTTTTGATCTTTTTAAAAAAAAGATTGACATACGATGCCTTTCGGTCAGGTAGTAAATTTTATAAATTTTAGAATTAACCCTTTTTTGAAAGAAAGAAAAAATAACGAATAATTATAGGTTGTTATTGGACCTCCTGGATCAGGTAAAACTACGTATTGCAATGGCATGCATCAATTTTTAAACGCTACTGGGAGGTAACTAAAGATTTATTTAAAAAATTTCCTTCATTTTTTTTACTCGACGAGGGATTAATTTTTTCCATTTTTTCGCATTACTAATGTGAATAAAGAAAAGTTTCAGTTGTTAACTTAGATCCAGCCAATGACTTTTTACCATATCCATGTGCAATAAATATATCAGATTTAATAACATTACAAGATGTAATGGAAGAATTGAAATTAGGGCCGAATGGTGGTATGATGTATTGTATGGAATTTCTTGAAAAGAATTTTGATTGGTTCGAAGAAAAGTTGAAATCTTTAGGAGGTAATTTTTTATATTTAAATGATATTCGTACATCGAAATTTTTTTTATTTTACAATAAACAAAATTTTTTTAGACAATTATATATTGTTTGATTTTCCTGGACAAGTTGAACTTTTTACTCATCATAATTCTGTCAAGAATATCATAGAGCGATTACAAAAATTAAATTATCGGGTTGGTTATTTAATATCTAAAAATTTTACTTATTTGAATTTACTTATTTAACTTCCTCATGTTAATTCTTAACTAGCTTGTGACAATTCATTTAGTTGATGCTCATTATTGTACAGATCCAACAAAATATATTTCAATTTTATTAATTTCACTCAAAACAATGTTACAAATTGAATTACCGCATATTAATGTTTTATCAAAAGTAGATTTAATGGAATCATATGGTAAACTAGGTAAAAATAATGAATTTTTTATCATTAAAAGCACTTAAATATAAAATTAATGTATTTATGTATTTTTCCTTTAGCTTTCAATTTGGATTTCTATACTGAGGTGCAAGATTTATCATATTTATTACAACATTTGGATGAAGATCCTTTTGCTAGTAAATTTAAAGAATTAAATAAAGCGTTGTGTGGATTAATTGAGGATTTTAATTTGGTAGGATTTAATACTCTTTGTATTGAGGTAAGTTGGAAGTTTAAAAGTTTAAATAACTATTATTATTTTTTAAATCATATTAATATTATTAGGATAAGAATTCTGTATTGAAACTTGTTCAAGTTATAGATAAAGCAAATGGATATGTATTTGGTGGATTAACTGAAGGCAATGAGAGTATTATGTTGGCAGCAATGGGAGCAAATACAACAACTCTTAGTGATATATTAGAAGTACAAGAGAGATGGTTAAATAGTAGAGAAGATTATGATGAATGGGAACTTAAGCAGCAGCAAATGGAACAAGCTCAAAAAAATGTAAAAGCAAAATAATGATATTTTTATTTATTTTAAAATAATGAATTCCTCTAACTATGATAATAACTAGTATAACATATAAGAAGTAAACCTAATATCGTACAATGTGGTCCGCAAACATTAGAATAGAACACCATATAAACTACGAACAATTTATAAATAAAGCTGATATATAAGTGATAATTGTCATAATTGTCATAATCTCAAATATATTCAAATGTGCAATCTGAAATAGACTTATTAGGACACTGCTTGAAATTGAATAGAAAGTTAAGACAAGCCGAAAAGAGATTTTTTGGCATGTGCCCAGTACAAAATTGACTTTGCAATTGCTTACTCAGAAATAAGCTTTTATATTGAGAAATATGAAAAATATACTTTTATATTTTTATGCCAAGAATTTTAGTAGCAATGTATTATTAATATTCAAATAATAAAGAAACTATAATAAATTAAAATATCATATATTGTAATAATATTGTTCCTTAATGTATAATAAGGTAGTTCCTTAATAAAATTTTGTTTTATAATGCAATAAATTTGTATAATTGAAATATCAAATATCAACTTTATTTACTTCTTTTAAAATTCGAAATTTAATTGAATAATTAAAATGTCATAAAATTTTCAATATATACTTGATGATTTAAATTATATCAACGTTTTTCTGAGGCAAACCTTTTACAGTTTAAGTAATTCTTAAAATTTCTCTTATTCTTGAGCGATTAAATATAATTGGGAGTCTAAGACTGAACCAAACAACGTATCATTCTTCGCTTATCAAGATTACAGTTTAGAGCAGATAAACCGCGAACCAGTTTTTCCAGTAAGTTATCATGATCCTTCTTGGCTTAAGCAAAGTGGCGGTTAATTGCGCATTTGATGCTTTGTCGGAATTTAGTCGATTTTTTTTTTATGGCTGAATAATAAGGCTCGGCTTTTTGAAATACTAATTTATATTTGAACACAGCGAAACATAAAATAACAACTATAAACGTGGCGGAAGTACTAAACAACACGAATTAGAATGCCGTTTTTTACTTTCTCTCTTTTCTTTTAAAAGGAAGGTACTCCTTTGCGAAACTTATTCTCATTTAAAGAATTATGTTATATACTAAAAAAATGAAATCATTTTTTATAATCCTTTTATCCATTTTCTTAACTTATCTAATCTCAGTTCCATCTCCAGTAATTGCATGGGGTGAAGAAGGCCACGAAACAGTAGGTCAAATTGCACAAAATTTTCTTCAACCTGATATAGCAAGAAAAGTAGCAAACTTGTTTCAAGATAAATCATTTGGTGGTAAATTACCTCTTGCCACTTTATGGGCCGATGATGTTAAAAAAAAAAAAGGAAGCCCTTTTGCTTTTTGGTCTGCCCCCTTGCATTTTATAGATACTCTAGATGATCCTGGTAAAAGTTGTTCCGTAAATATGGAAAGGGATTGCCCTGACGCTAGATGCATTGTTGGTGGTAAGTAATCTCAAGTGTGGCGCAACATTCCTCATGTTAATTATCTTTTAACTTAATTTGAATTAATTCAATTCTTCTTTAAAGCTATTGCCAATTATACCACACAATTGGACTGTACAAATGGATATGATAAATTTACGAGAGACTTTGCTCTTCGTTTCTTGGCCCATTTCATTGGTGATATCACTCAACGTAAGTATTCTATCTAACAAAAAATAAATTGGCACAAGTTTTTAATTAGAGAAATTTAATTATTTGATTACAATGTTTTATTCAATTAGCTTTACACGTTAGTGGACGCGAGAAAGGTGGAAATGGAGAAACCGTAACTTTTGATGGACGACGAGGAAAGTAAGTTCACGTGATTATTCATGTCACTGGCTAGCACGTGAGAGACTTATAATTGGTTTAATTGGTTTTCAGTTTGCATTCTATCTGGGATACGCAAATGGTAGAAAAACGACTTCGAGACTTTGGATCTGACATTGTTCAATATTCAAATTTCCTTACAAAAGAAATTCAAAGTGGCAAATATGCATCTGAAAAAGATAGTTGGGTGTCATGTATAAGTAGTCCTAAAGCTGCCACACTATGTCCTTTAACTTGGGCTATTGACACTAATGCAATTAATTGTCCTTTTGTCTGGTCTGTTGACAAAGAACCTGGTGTAGATTTAGGAGGAGATTATTATCAAGCTGCTGTACCTATTATTGACAAACAAATTGCTAAAGGTGGTTATAGATTAGGTGTCCTTTTGAATTCAATTTTAAGTAAAAATTGTTAAAAAATCAATTAGTTTTGAGTTGTTTTTTAATTTGTAATATTTTACAAACGTTCAATTTTTATTTATTAATTTCTTAAATATTCACTTATGATCAGATAAATTATAGAAATAAAATATTCTTTTGTCAACTCTCCATTCCTACTAACGGACCATTATTTACTATTTTTACTACCTGTCTTCTCATCATTTTCTATTTCTAAATTCTACTTCACATATTAAATTGATAATTCGGTATTATTGGAGTTACTGTATAAATATCATTAGTACTTAAGATATAAAAATTTTTTTTTGATTAATTAACACTTTGTCCTTTTTTTATGATTTACCATTTTACCATTCAGCTTCAAAGATTGCAGCCATACCCATACCACTACCAACACACATAGAGATAACACCCAATTTCTTTTTTGTTCTTCTCAATTCAGTCAATAAAGTTGATATCTGTCTAGCACCTGTGGCTCCGAGAGGGTGCCCTAATGCAATAGCACCTCCCTGTATTTTTAAAATGTATACTTATTATTAATTTGTTTATAATTGACAGTTCTTTTAATTAAGATTACAAAACGTACCTTCGGATTAACTTTATTAATATCAATACCCAATTTTTCGATAGAATAAACAGCTTGAGAAGCAAAGGCTTCGTTGATCTCATAAATATCAATATCATTAATGGAAAGACCAGCTTGTTTAAGAACGATTGGGATGGCATATGCAGGCCCAACACCCATAATTCTTGGTGGGACACCAACAACAGCAGCACGAACAAATTTGCCAAGAATTGGTAAGTTTAATTTCTCTGCAGTTTTTCTTTTCATTAACAATACAGCTCCAGCGCCATCTGAAACTTGAGAAGAACTACCAGCAGTGGTAGTACCATCAGCTGCAAAAGCGGGTTTTAATTTAGCTAAACCTTCGGGTGTAGTCCCTTTACGAATACCATCATCAGCTGATACAACTATTTTCTTTTCTTCACCAGTCTTTGGATCTACCCATTTTGTACTAACAGGGATAATTTCTTCATTAAAAAGGCCGGCTTCTTGAGCAGCAGCAGCCTTTTTATGAGATAATGCTGAGAATGCATCTTGCTTGGCACGAGTAATACCAAAGTCCTTTGCAACATTTTCAGAAGTAATGCCCATTGGTAATAAACAATCAGCCGCAGCTGGATTTGAGAAAACTTGCTCTGAAGTATTTTCAGGTAAAACTCCCGCACCAAAGCCAAAGGTCATACTTTCAACACCGGCACCTATTACAAAACGATTTAAATTAATTGAACTATTAGAACGTATGATAATAAAAAAATTCAACTATTAATACCTATGCCAACTTCAATTTGATCAAGTGCTATTTCGTGAGCAATTTGAACAACTGCTTGCAAACCAGAAGAGCATTGTCTATTAACGGTGTTTAAAGCAGCAGTTTCGGGAATACCAGCATATAAAGAGGCCGCACGTGCAACATTAGCGCCACCACCAGGTGGAAGAACATTACCAACTGCAACGTCTTGAATGAGATTAGGATCTATTTTCGATTTTTCAAGGATGGCTTTGAACACAGCAGCAAGCAAGTCTTCAGGAAGCGTGTCCTTAAAACCACCCTTCTTAGATTTTGTCATTGGAGTACGAACAGCTGTAACTACGACTACATCGTCTGGACTTGACTTTCCAACTCTAGCAACAGCTGGATTGTTTCCTGTGAGGTGACTAACAATCTGTTGAACTCTTTGTGCCATATTATTAAATTGTAAAAACAAAAAACAATTTATAAGAAATAATTGTTGGGTATCGCCAGGATATTTATGTACGTCAATTGTGAAATATTATGAGGTAATCTGATATGCAAAGACAATCAAAGATGTAGATTTGATTTATAATAATTATTTTTTCAAGATTTTCCGAAGTGGTGGTTCTCACGTGCATTTTTATTGCAAGTAAATATTTTATTCTTTTTTCAAAAATCCAGAATCTTTGTTCTTCAAAAACGGATGAAACGGGGGTTTTATACCTTTAGCGATATAATAATCCAACATTTTGTATTCAACACGACGTATCTGTGAAAATATAATTATTTAAAGAACGTGCAAAGCTGGCTTCAAATAAAAATTTTCTTCGTCATACCATTGTGGCCATGAAATTATCTCGTTTTTTTGAAATGATTTTTCTCGTAAGTACTGTAAACATTCCATTTAAGTTTCCAAATAATACATCTGTAAACACGCGATCTCCTATAATTGCTATCGTATGTGGGTTATATGCCGCAAAATGAGAAAGCAATTCTTGCCCACATGAAGGTTTCTATTTGAATTTTTTGAATTATTTGAATGAAATATACGATATTCATACTGTGTATGATAATTACCTTTGACATATGTCTTAATACATAGACGCCTGGATCGAATAAAGCTTTAGAACAAAATAAATTCGATGTAATACGCAAAATGTTTCGAAAAATTTAAAGAATTTACCTAGACTTTTTTCGATTGCTTCGGCCTTTTTTTATAAATTAAAAAATTAATTATAATCAAAGAGAGATAAGGACATCATAAAATTATTTATTATATGAACACCTGAATGAATCCTGGATCATCCCCTGTTCCCGAGCTATTCGACACAATAATTAAATTTTCATTTCCAAATATTTTTTTACTTTCTTCCCATGCGCTCTTTTGTTTAAAAGTTCAAATAATTACTGTATAGATAATTAAATTTTATGACGCACAAAATAATAGTACCTTAAAAGGTGGATAAATTTCATCAGAATAAGGGGTCGTAAGTGTATTATCCTTATCAAATGCCAATGCATTTATTCCAAGGTTTTTTAACTCATAAAAATTTATATTTCGAATATCTAATATAATAAAATAAAATTATTTGACGTGATTAAACTAGAAAATTATATTTTTATTTTATTACCATTAACAATGAGATGAGGAATGCATAAATGCGTTTTTCTAAAAACTTTTATTGAGTTAATAATGGCGTTAAGGTTTAAACTTTGTACCATTTCGTTAAATTAAAGCAAAAGAATAAAATTACCATTCACCGAATGATTTTGTAAGGATGACAAATGATCTGCATGCATATGGCGTAATTAATTTGACAAAATCTCGATATTTGCTTTCCCCCTACTTCTCCCTTTTTTACCGCCACCGCCCACCTGATTTTTAACTTTCTCAGGATTTAATCCTTTCCGATCTTTTTCTTTAACTAAAGGTATTGGACGCCCTTCCGCCCAAGGTGATTTAGTAATAGTAAAATTTTTATTTGGATCCGATGGATTAATGGAGGTACTTTTGTTAGACTTAGCCTTGGAAAATGGATTTAAGTTTTTTTTATCTGATATTTTAACTTCAGGAAGTGATCCGATATTTTTTTTATCCTCAGTGTTTGTTTTTGGAAAAGATTCTGATTTAGGAATTTCTTTCATGATTGGTATTTGTGTCAATAGTCTCTGATAAATTCTTCTTATAAATCTTTTTCTTGGATTATGTGGTCTTGCTGTATGATATGGTACTTCTCTAACTAGGTCACGTGGAGTCTTTGGCATATTAGGAATATCAGAAAGTCTCAAAGTTGTCGTATCATTCATATCTTTAATATTAATTTTTCCAATTCTTGCTACACCTTCAGAAGATAACGTGCCTTTACCAGCCTTTTTCTCTAATGTTTCTAATTCTTCTTTAGTGACAGGTGGTATTACTTGTCTCATGATTCTAGAGTAATGCCACCACATAATATTCGCTTTTCGGCGTGGATGGAGTGGTTTATGTTTTGGTTCCGGTAAAGTCGGATAGAGAGATTTTACCTGTGATGATAATAGCGATTGGAGTGGTGGTGAAATACGCGGTGGTGCAGTTCTATGAACTTTTCGAATAAAAGGTCGAGGAGATGAGCTAGGATAATCTATAAGAGGCTAATTCCACATAATATTAATACTAATCTTTTGCATAATATTCACAATAAAGAGAGTTTTTAGAAACTGACTTTAAGTAACTTGTGTCTATTTGGTCCTATTCTTCCGTAAGTCAATTTGAGTACGCGCGTTACCGCTTTGACATCAAAAACATTAGCTCTCTTTAGCTGGTTTAATGCCTAAAACACGTCCCAATAAAAATTTTATTTTGTTATAAATATTTAGATAATTACTTCATGTCAATTAGCTGACCTTTCGTGCATCAGCCCATTTCATCATAACTCTTTTTTCATTTGTTTCATTTTTGTATTCTTTAAATCTTTTTCTTGCTCTTTCCTTAAGAAATTCCCTTAAATATATATATTCGAAATTTAATTAGTATATATATGTTTATGAATCATGGTACATTATTTTATATTACATTATTTTATATTACTTTGCTTTATCATCGAAGAACTTTGATGATTCCTTCAAAATTTGTTTATATAACGAAAGAATTTGTTCTCTCTTGCCGAGACTATTCATTTAATAAAAAAATTTTTTTAAACACTGTGCATATAAAAGGAAAAAAAAAAATGTACATCTTAATAAATCAATTATCGCATCTTCACATGCATTGTTAGGTTGTAATACAAATAATATGCAAAGAGTATAAAAGGTTAAAACATCATTGTTCAATCAATGGAACAAATTCCTCCAACGATAATTTTACAATTGAATTAATTGAATTTAATTATTATTACATACTAAGTGAGCCATCTCAGACTTGAAACAAAATGAGTGAAGCAGTCTGGAACTGTGTTGGATCTCAGCGACCTATGGTCAAGAGATGCAATTCACTCACGGCTTCCGCTTCGCAAAGCTCATTGATAGTTGATATTCCCTGTGAAGTTTTTATTGATATTTGTAAATTCCTTCCTCCGTTGGATCTTTTCACACTTTCTCTTGTCTGTAAAAATTTTCGAAATTGGTTAGTTGCGCGTTCTAATTTTGGAACTGAACAGATTTGGAGAACGGCAAGAATAAACTGGTTAACACATCTCCGGTCGCCACCTAATGGAATGCCAGAACAATGTTATGTTTTCCTACATTTGATAGAATTGGGTTGCCAATTTTGTGGCAATGGCAAGATCGATCCACATGGCGGTTTACCATGTGAAATTCCAGCAAGGATTTATTGGTGTTTTCGCGTTCGCTGTTGTCAAAAATGTTTATTAGAAAGGACAGTAACGTATGATATCAAATTAATAATTTGTAAAATATTAACCTGAAAATAAATATTTATACCTTTTCTTTTTCTTAGTTCAAAACAGATTAAAGAAGAGGGAAAGGTACATAGTGACCTGCTTCGAATACTTCCTCATTATTTTAAGAATAATCGTCCTCATATTTATTGGAGGAGCCAAGTAGAAGCGGCTTATCAAGAATACGTGAACCTTGATAGGAAAGATTTTGACAAATGGATATATGATAAATCAATTCAACTTGAGGAACAAAACAAGATAGCTGCAGCTTGTGCAGGGTCAACCCAAGCAGAGTTAAAAAAAAATCAAATTGGAGAAAAATTGAAAATGTTAATAAGAAAATTGTCATTGGTTGTTCCTAATGATGCAAACAGAACTCAACGTCAAGTGGAAGTAGAGCTTAAAAGATGTGCTACTTATAAAAAATATACTACCAATAACAATAACAAAGCAAATTTTTTAATAAGATTATTTAACGAAGATCACTGGGATCTTTTTCAAAACCTTATAAGACAAGAGTATGAAGAGAAGCGTAAATATGCTGCTTTAAGAGCACAACAATTTGATATATTTTGTAAGGTAAGGGGATGGAGATTAAATTATTATGCATTATCATATCGTATAATAACCTTCTTTTTCCATAGACATATTCAATGGTTCCAGAAAAATTTTCCATGAAAGATCCTATAATTAAATACCTCCCGTATTGCCGATCTTTCAAAACGCCTTATTGGGATGTTACAGTACCTTTGGAAGATAATTTTCTCGAAAAAGAATTAATTCCTACTCTTTGCAATGAAGCAGCAGCAATTGCAAAAAGATCGGAGAGAACGTATCCAATTACAACGCTAACATATGCACTGTCGCTAAGAAATCGGCACCTTTTCCATTGTAAGCTGTGTGAGAATATTGGAAGTCCAACGCCAGTATTAGCCTATAAGGATGTTAAGTTGCATTTACAAACTCAACATGATGTAAAGAATATTTCCATGAAATGGATGACTACGATCAATTATTTGGCAGTTGGCAAGAGTATCTTAAAACGAGATTCTCAAGTAGTTTGTTTCTTCTTTCCACTTGATGATTGATATATATTTTTTGTTTGTTATTTTTTGGATTTTGGTCATCACAAATTTCGCATCATATGCATCATATGTAATGACATTTTGCACAACTACATATGTGTGTAATTCCTGGGCACTCAATGATCATAAATTTTTTTTTTCTTTTTTTTTCTGCACTTTTGTATACTAATTCAATCAAAATAATAGATTTAGAAAGATATTTAGTGCTAATTGCTAAATTAACGAATAAAGCTTTATTTTATTTATATTTCATTGCTAATAATAAGATTATATTTGCTTTTAATTTTAATTGTTCCTTTCTTTACTGTCAGATTCTACTTTGTTTAAACCTAAACTAAGTTCTTTTCTATTTCTTGATTTCTTTAATTCTTTTAATTTTTTTTTTTCTTTTTCAATATTATCAGGACACCATTCCAATACATCTGGTTTAGTATTTACAACAAATTTCATTACTTTCTCGCCTTGTTCATACATTAAATCTTCTATCGTAACTCTACCATCTCTAAACCAACCTAAATGATCCGCTATTAAATGGTGATTATTACATGAAGAACATTGAATGATGACTACTCCGTGATTATAAGCATGTTTTGACATCGTTTTTGTGGAACGTAATGAGCATACCTTACACGTAAATGCTATCATAAGACGCGTGTTTGGATCATGTTGTGATGTTGTGGAAGAAGTATCAGAGGATGAAGTTTGAGCTGATTGAATTTTAGAAGAATCAGAAAGAGATAGAGTTTTTTTATCTTTAAATGAATATTTAGTTGAATGAATAAAAAATGATTGTGAAGGTTTGGTTAGTACAGGATACTGTATTTTATATTTATTTTGATTTAATAAAGACCTTCTTTTTGAAAAAGTTTTTGTGACATTAGTTATATTCTGTCTTGGTAACAGTTTTGATATAAATTGAAACATCTTTAACTGTAGATGGATCTATGCTGATCAAAATTTTTTATATGGTTTTTTTCCTTATGACGTGCTCATACGAAAATCTTATAATTGTGTGTCAGATTTGAATAAAAAAAATTCATTCCCTTTTACAACTACAATAAGTATTTTTGATAGTAAATGCAATGCCAAACGGATCGTTTTTGTATATATAGCAATAGCAGGATTTTCCCTTCATCATTTCTTTTTTAACATGAAATTAATCGGATTAACCGGAGGAATAGCCTCGGGTGATTATATTTCTTTCAATGTCGCAAAAATTGTTATACATTTTATTTTAACTTTTCATTTATTTAATTAAAGGTAAAACAGCAGTATCACGAATGATTATACGTCGTAAATTACCATTAATCGATGGTGATTTATTAGCAAGAGAAGTAGTAGAACCAGGAAAACCTGCATATAATTTAATCATAAAAAATTTTTCCCGTGACGTGTTAAATGAAGATGGTACACTTGATAGAGCAAAATTAGCCGATATTATTTTTTCTGATGAACAAAAAAGAAAAATTTTAAATAGATGCACACATCCTTACATCAGAAGAAAAATTTTCAAATTATTAGCTTGGTACTGGGCCACTGGCGAAAAATTGGTCGTATTGGATGCTCCCTTGTTGATTGAGAGTGGTTTATATAAGTGGATGAGTGCTGTTGTCGTTATATACGTGTATGTACATATTTTGGGGTTTATTTGTCGTATTATATTTTTTAAATTAACGTAATTTCTATTTTTATGTTATTTCTTTGTGATGAAGTTCTGAGCAATTACAATTACATCGTTTGATTAAACGAGATAATATTCAAGAACATGCTGCTCTTCAACGTATATCTGCTCAAATGCCAATCAGAGAGAAAATTAAATATGCTGATCACGTAATCGATAATTCTAGTGATTTAGGAGAAACCGAAAGACAACTTAATGTCGTTTTAGCTAAAGTGTATCCAACTTGGTGGAATTGGTTAATAACTTGGCTTGGTCCTCCCACAATAGTTGTTTTAGGTTTAGCTGCTGTCGCCAATAGCAAAATAAAATGAGTATTATTCCTTTTTATAAATGATAAGAATGAGATTTATATAACCTTGCTAATATGTATGTTGATAAAAATTAAAAAATTAGCAGAAAAGGGATGATAGTTGGATATAAAGGAAGAAGAATTTTTGTTTAAAAGTGGAAAGTAGAACTTTGTTATTGTAAAAAAAAACTCAAAAAGAGGACCGATAATTTAAATTCAATAGATATCTAGAAGTCGTGTTTAAAAAACGTGAATGCTCAATTTGAACTTATCCAAACTAATACATATAGTTGATTAGACTAATAACTGATAACAAACTTTATTTAGAACCCAATTTTATTTATAGTTATTATCTATATATGTTGCCAATAAATAGTGATAATTAATTATTCGAATGCATGATTATATATTATATAATATTATATAGCATGCTTTTTCTCAAATTCAATCATATAATTGATCAAAAAATCAATTGCCTCCGAAGTGACAGAATTATACATACTAATTCTGATTCCACCAACACTACGATGGCCTTTCAATTGAACCATTCTCAACTCTTCAGCGCCAGCCAGAAATTCTTTTTCCAACTCTTCTGGAACGATTCTGAAGGGAGCATTCATCCTTGATCTAACCGGTTTATCAACAAAAGATCGATATATCTTTGATTTGTCAATTAAATCATAAATTTTTTTAGATTTTTCCTTATTAATTTCTTCAATGGCTTCTACACCACCTAATTGCAATGACCATTCAAATACCAGTCCAGAGACATAAATAGAAAACATTGGGGGAGTATTATACAATGAATTGTTATCGACAAATACTTTGTAACTTAACATTGTGGGTATGACAGTAACTCCATTATCTTTATCATTAACGGATTTTGGGTTAGTTAATAAATCATTTCTTACTATAACAACAGTTACTCCAGCGGGTCCAATATTTTTTTGTGCTCCTGCATATATAACCCCAAATTTACTAACATCAAATTTCCTACTTAAAATGTTTGAAGACATATCACATACCAAAGGGACACTTGGATCAATATCGGGAATAAATGGAAATTCAACTCCATTAATAGTTTCGTTATCACAATAATAAACGAAAGCAGCTTTTGAGCCGCTTAATTTCCATTCTTCTTTTGGCGGAATAGACCCAAAACTTCCCTTTGATTTTTTGACATCAATTACAATATTAACATTATTATATAATCTCTTTGCCTCATCTGCCGCTTTAGCAGACCAACTTCCTGTAACAAAATAATCTAATGGAGGATTAAATTCTTCTTCTTCAGGAATTTGTTGTCTTTTAGCTGCTAATAAATTATAAATTACTGCTGAAAATTGGGTACACCCCCCACCTTGCATAAATAAAATTTCGTAATTATCAGGTACTTGTAATAAAGTTTTAAAATCATGTTTAGTTTTATTTAAAAGATTTTCAAATGTTTTACTACGATGAGAAATTTCCATGACTGACATTCCAGTGTTTTCATAATTTAAAAATTCTCTTTGCACTTTTTCCAAAACACTTAATGGCAAAGCTGATGGTCCCGCTCCAAAATTATATACTTTTGGTCTTGTTGAAGACATGTTTAATAAAAAGAATAAGAAGAATAAGACGAAATTTATTCAAATTTCACGAGAAAGAAAAAAAAAAAAAAACGCGATGAACCATTTTGATAATCATACGTGTAATGTAATAATTATGTAATACAGTCATGTGCTTTGATTTAAATCTCAAAAATCTCATAATGACAACATGTATAGTCATCAATCATATTTCCTTTAAAACTTAAAGGCCAACGTAACACGTAAACTATATATGGGAAATTTTTTTTTGGATCTTTGACGACAAAGATACAGTATTTGTTAAAAGTAGTATTATGGTGACTTATGGTCGCACGATAACGATAACACCGTATATAAAGTATATGTGAATATTGATTGATTAATGAAAATCAGAAAATAGGGAATGCTCGTTACTCGGTACATATACAAATCATTCATTGTAGAATAGGTACGTATACAAAATTACAAACTATATTTACAAATCAATAAAGCTGAATAAACATGTGTATTACAACGGAAATGGATCAAAACACAGTTGTTTATTTACAAAAAGTAAAATACTTAATAGATTAAAAAACGCATTGAATATACTATGTTTATTGTGACTTTTGAGCAGAAGCATCATTACAAGGAGGAGGAATTGGTGTTTTTGGGTCTATAGGGGGATGAACTACACGTCCTACTTTATAATATGTATGATGATCACGATAAAAACCTGCCCAATTTTCAAGATCCTATAATAGAGAAAGTTATCCTCATGAGAAATTGTCCTAACTTCAATTAATAAATTTAATTTGTTTACCTTAATTTGCTGATGAGTTAATCCTCGTAAATCATGAGTTAAATGAGTTTCAAAACATCCTGTAATATATGCACGAGATGCATCTTTTCCTGCGAAAAAATTATAACCACCTCCCTAAGAAAGTAGAGAATATATGTTATTGATTTATTTTTGTGATAAATTTCCTTTAATAAAATTATACAAACTTTGCCATAATAATGTTTTCCGGCAGTAACGTCGAACACTTCACCACTTTTAACATTGTTAGAATTAGAAATTTCAATTTTTTTAAAAAAGAAAAATATTAAATCTGAAATATTTTATCTTTTTATCTTACTTCATAGCAATATAAATAGGCAAATTGGGATCGGATCCATCATATTTAGCCAATTCTGCTTCAGAAAAGATAATTTCTCTCCTCTAATATATATTATTATATTTATTAAATCATTAAACTAAAAAACACTTAGCGTCGATAAGTTATTTATACAAACCGGAATCCAATTTCTCCAATTAGTATATTTTCCTTCATATCCCCAAAACCAAGTTTCAGTTAGAAAGAAGGAAGCGGCAAAATTTATAATTAAGAAAGTTAAAATTACTTGCAATATGCTTAGGCATATTAAACCACCAGAACTACTACTTTTTTTTTGATCATATTCCTTAGACGTTTTTGAAGGAACATAATTCTCAGAAAGATTACTTGTATCTTTCTTCCTTTGAACTGGAGGCATTGTAAAAAAGGTAGCTCTGTTAATGATAATTTTCCACACGTGATGAATCAATTCTTTTTTTTATTTGATGCAAGGTTCCGAACTTTATTTAACGTTGCATGTGGCTGGTATAACTATTTACTTAAATCTCGGTAAAATATTTTGTTTTAATATTATTGGACGATTGCAAGATAATTAATTTTATAATATTTTATTATATTTAAAATATTAGGAGGATGAATTTTTTCTTTACTCATACAAAATAAAGCAAGAAAAATAAACATTAATAGAAAAAGTTTTTAAAAAGTAGTAGTTTATATTTTATATACTAAGAATTTGTCCAACTTATACTGCATAATTCCATAGCTCTATACACAACTTTTCTAAATTTTTTAGCAGCTTCTTCAAATTTAGCAATATTTTTGATTTTGTCCATTCAATATCTTCTGCTATTAGTCTTGCGAACATACATATGAACACACCACAAGAATATCCATCCACTTGCGGTGCTTCTTCCTTGTCAAACATCAAATCCAAAGTAATATAAATTGGATTTCCAATTTGATTGTTTAACCAAATAATTAGGTTCTTCTCAATCTTCATCCGTTATTGACCCAAATGAATCAATGATCACAATTCTACATGGTTCCTTTATAATCGCAACCAAGTTCCAATGGTCGTCAGTAATATTGATTGGAACAAAAATGATTTCTTTTTGATAAATTTCTGTTTTTTTGATCCAGTTTTCGACGGAAGAATACCCACCCACTGCTAACCTCATATAAAAATAGGACGTGAAAGAATGGATACGATCAAATTTCGTGTTTAAAAGAGTAAGGTACATATTAATTTGATCCGAAGAAAGCCAAGAATCTTTTTTCCATAATTTGATTAGTCCTTTTATTGTTAAATATTCTCTATTTTTATTTTTACTCAACCACTTCAAAAATTCTTCTTGGCTTTCTTCACTTGCATCTAACTTTTTTTTGCGGCACGAATTATACTAAAATATAAAAAAAGTATTTGAGTATTTTTTACCTTAATTTCGATCTCGTCCCGGTTGAGATTGACATATGTTAGGTATAAACAACGAATAATTGTTTCGACGCGTTCAAGTTAGACCAATTTATAATAAAAAACAATGATACTGAGAAGTCCCTATAGCAATTACGTCAAAGACTAACAACGACTTAAAGAAACACCATAGAAGAATAGCACATGAAGCGAGTATTATTTTTAGTTTTCTTTTTATCAATCATGACTTCTTAAAATTTTCTATTGTTATATATATTGCTGTTATAATAATGTCTCTTCAAGTGATGATCAATTATTTACGTGTAGCACCATTCGCGTCTTGGATCCCGATAGATGATCGATTGATCGGCCCGCTGATTGTAATACCTTAAAAAAAATATAAGCGCAATTCTTTCCTTGTTCACTTTTTTTTACTTCTTTCATAAGTTAAGGAAAAAAAAAAAAAATGCTATCAAAAAAACCTTTACATAACCCTAAAACAACAGAATATGAGTTCTTAGGTCCAATTGGAGCATTCTTAATGATAACAGTACTTCCCTCTTTAGTATATTTATTACATTTAGGTTGTCAACCTGAAGGATGTCCATCCCCTGCTTTAGTCAAACAATTATTAAACCCACAACAACTAGCCCAATTCTTTTCTACTGAAAATATCCTTTCTTTATTTGATTTACAATCTTTTATAGCTTATGTAGGATATCTAAGTTATCTTGTTCTTGCATGGTATCTTGTACCTGGAAGATGGGTTGAAGGAACTCAACTTCGTGATGGAAGTAAATTAAAATATAAAGAAAATGGATTTCGTAGCATGATGTTAACACTTAGTATAATTGGATGCACTATATTATTTAAAGGATATGAACCTTTATTATTTATTTATGATCATTTTATTGGGTTAATGACTTGTTCCATAATTGTTTCTTTTTCGGTTGCTATTTATGTTTATCTGGCTTCTTTTCAAGAAGGAAAATTATTGGCTCTTGGAGGAAACTCTGGGAACATAATCTATGATGTAGGTGTTAAACTTTACTTTACTTGAAAATAATCCTTATCTTACCTTAGTATTTTGGTATGATAAAGTTTATGATTGGAAGGGAATTGAATCCTCGGATAGGATCTTTTGATATAAAATACTTTGTTGAATTAAGACCTGGAATAACTGAATGGACAATTATTAATATTGCGATGGCGGCCAAACAATATCATGATCTTGGGTATATTACGATTGGAATGATTTTGGTAATTATATTCCAGGGATGGTATTGTATTGATTCAGTGTATAATGAAGTAAGTTAAAAATGAAATTTTTTTTAAAAAAATATAAGCATACTAATTAGTAGTTATTTAGCCAGCGGTTTTAACTACAATGGATATTACAACAGATGGATTTGGATGGATGTTATCATTTGGCAATATTACCTGGTTAGGATTCCTTTATCCTTTACAAGCAAGATATTTGGCTCTGAAACCAAATCATCTTTCTTGGTTGGAAATTGCAATTATTGTATCTCTTCAAACTATTGGTTATACTATTTTTAGAGGGGCTAATAATGAGAAGAATGCATTCAGAAATAATCCTGATGATCCAAAGCTTAAAGGTTAGAAAAATTATTTATTCTATATTAGTAACAGTTTTTATTTATATTATAAATTCTTAATATGATTTATTATTATAGATCTTAAATATATGACTACTGAATCCGGATCTAAATTAATTATTTCTAGTTGGTGGGGTAAAGCAAGGCATATCAATTATTTAGGTATATTAATAATACAAATGTATACATGTATCAATATTTAAGAGATTAAATTATTGTCATATTAATAATAGGTGATTGGATAATGTCATGGGCTTGGTGTTTACCTTGTGGTAAAATAAACTTAATTATTATATTATTCATTATAAAACAATTACACATTATAATATATTTGATTAAAAATTTTATTTAGGATTTAACGATATATTCCCATATTTTTATGTGATATATTTTGCAGTACTACTCATTCACAGAGAATTAAGGGATGAAGAAAAATGTAAAAAGAAATATAAGAAGGACTGGGATAGATATTGTGAAATTGTTAAATATAAAATTATACCCGGTAAGTATTAATATCCCTTATGATGGTTTTAAATATTAAATCTAATATAATATGTTTTAATACAGGTATTTATTAATGCACACATATACAGTATATTATATACAGTATCTTATATACTAAAATAAATAACCAACTTTTAAAAAATGATTATTTAAATTAATTATATTATTAGACTTAAAATAGGGACGGAATAATAAAAAAAAATTATTTTTTAAAAACCAATAAATAAATAAATTAAGTTTTTGTTCTATTTTTTGATAATTTTAAATAATTCATATTCATCAATACAAAAATAAAATTCATCTCTAATATCATTTAAATAATATTGTTTGCTACATCTACAACTTAATGGTAAATTAAAATTATCCTCCAAAAATAAATCATATTTACCAAATCTAGGCCCAGTATTTTTTGAAATATAAAAAGCGTTAGAAATATGATTAGGATCAATCCTACTTAATATTGACCTTGATTCTAATTTTTTTAATTCTGTACTAAAATTTAAATTATTGCAATTCAACCAAGAAATATTATTTTTAGAATCCAAAGAACTTGTTTCATCTGGAAAAGAAAATATAAAAGATTTATATTCAGTTCTCCAAAACTCATTTGGTTCTTTCCATCGATCATGTTCATAAATGTAAGGATTATATCCACCAATCAATTCGTTAGTACCTTTAACTCTCATAATAATAATAGTGTTTTCTAATTTTCTGCTCTTTTTTTGAAATATATTAGCAGTAAAACCATCTAAAGTACCCCTAATTTTTAAATCAAATGTGTAAGGCAAATTATTCTGATTATAAATTTCGGATTTTTTATCAATCCAACTACAAATTAATGTTAAATGTTTCAATTTTAACAAGTTCGAGTCAATAAATTTAATTTTTCTGTCATAAAGTCTTTTTGTGACGATACTTGGATTAACATAGTACCAAAGTGAACTTTCATAAATATCTTGTTGAATAAATTCTTTAAAAGGTTTAACTTTATCATAAAAATCTTTATAATTAATATTATTAAATCTAATAAAAGGTACAAATTCTTTAATAATTTTTGAAAAAATCTTCTTATATTTTTTTGGCCATTTTGTTATATCATAATGATCATTTGGAATATGATTTCTTTGCATAACTTGACCTTTACACCAAATAATTAAACTCTTCCAAATATCAATTTCATCCATAAGTAATTTATCATTTTTAATTATTTCTTTAAAAAAATTTGATGATATCGATTGAAAATTTCTTAATTCAAATATCGAATAAGGATTGTTATTAATCTTTGTCAAACAAAATTCTTGTAATCGTTTCCATAATGGATGTTCAAATGATAAACTAAGAATATACGGAAAATTTTCATTTAAATATGTAGAATGATGTTCTATTAGATATTTCTCAATATATGAATATAAATCGTGAAGAATTAACTCATCAGATGCAAACATAATTTCGAATAAAAACTCGGGTGATTTTTTTTCACATGAAATTGATCCGGAATAAATATATCTGTTAGAAATATGGAAATATGAAGAATTAGGTTATCAATGGCAAAAAAGGGGAACATAAATAATGATTTAGGCCACACACACCTTAAGATGACTTCAAAAACCTCAGGTTTGATGTTTGGTTTTTCGATAAAGAAAAATCCATCATTATCCTTTTTACGCCAATCTTTTTTAAAAGCGGTATTAAAATATGGACACATAGCACGTATAAGATATAAATGCGCTTTAAACGTTTTTTTATTATAATCTTGTCCTATAATAATTTTAACATTATAATCTTCTATTTCATCTCTTTCATCATAAAAATGAAAAAGTTTCTCTGAAAATTTTTTAATCAATTTTATATCATCCGTAATCATCTTTTAATTCAATTTAAATTATTTCCTTTTCTTAAAAAAAAAAACAAATATTTTTAGATTTGAAGAATATTTATACGATTAATGTTAATTTACGTCAGAATTTACATTAAAGTAATCAGTCATTCATACTCCGAAATCCGTGACCCAAAAAGGGAAATTTATAAAGGAGTAAACTTTGTTTTACAAACAATGAATAAATATTTCGCTGTTGAGACTTTGTTCTTCCACGTATTACTGCGCTTCGTGATCTACAAGAAACGCATATTATTACGTGCTACATTTTAATTTATTAAATTTATTATGATTTAGTTAAATAAATTAAATAACAAATGATCTAAGTCATTTTTTGACTAGTTGAAAAACTTCAAATTCTTCGGCTGAGAATAGATCGGGATTATTTCTAATAGCTTCTTCATATCTAAGATGAACACATTGACAACAATCCGCGTTAAAACTTCCCCAAGCTCTTAAATCATTTCCGCCCCATTGAGGTCCACAATTAGCGTAACTATAAATAGCGTGATCAATTTGATTATTTCTAACTCGGCTTAATTTAAATCCATTTTTCAAATCGAAACTGTTTCTTCCAGTCGTACCTTCAAAACTAAATATAAAACTTTCACTCGTAGATTTATATCCACTTCCATTCCAATTTAAAGGATTATATCCACCAAATATTTCTTTTGTTCCTTTAACTCTAAGTACCGTTACAGTTTTATCAAAACTATCACATTTTTTATGAAACTCTGCTGCTGTAAATCCATCACGCGTTGAACGGAGTAATAACCTAAATTGATAAGGAATCGATGCTAATCTATAGGGATGAGATAACCTATCAACCCAACTTGAAATGAGTGCTGCATGTTTTAAATTAATTATAGATGAGTCTATGGGAGAAGGACGAGAAGGTTGTAATGAATTTCTGTAGTTAATTAAATATGGGAAAGATGATTCTTTATCATTATTTCTAGCATTAAAATTTAAAGTTTCTTCTTGTTGTATTTCTTTCTCTCGTTTATTTACAAATATGACATTTTTCGGATTAACATATTTCCATAAAACTTCTTCATATACGTCATCTGGAAATATTTTCTTTAAAGGTCTTATTCTAACAAAAAAATCTTCCGGTGAAATATCACTAAACCTTATATACGGAATACAATTTTTTAATCTTTCTTTTAAACTTTCAAAGTCTTTATCACTCCATTTATCAACTATTTCATTAATCATTTTCTCTTCATGATATTCTCCTATACTTGGTTCTTGATTTATTCCCCATTTTAATAATATATCCCATATTTCAATTTCCTTCATTATTAGATCATCTCGTTGTAGCAATCCGGAAAGTATGGCTTCACTACATGAGAGAAAATTTGGTGACGCAAAAATGATTGAAGGATTTGGACAAATTTGATCCAGGCAATATGTTTGTAATTTTTTCCATAGCTCACGTTTAAATGCTATATTTAAAATTTCCGAAAAGTTTTCATTTAAATAAGAAGAATGATGTAAAAGAAACTGATCTTCTACGTATGAAATCATTTCTGGAAGAATCAATTCATCTGCTGCACATAATAATTGAATTACAAATGAAGGAGATTGTGATTCTATCGACGTTATTATTCCCGTATACAAATATCTAAGAAGGCAGAAATATGTGAAGAGAAATAAAAAAAGTAAAATAAAAGTAAAAACGATATGGGAGGGAAGGAAAATTACTTACTTAAGAACAATTTCAAAAACTTCGGGTTCAATATTTGGTTTGTCAAAAATAATATTATTACCTTCTTTCTTTGCCCATTCACTTGATAATCCAGCGTTAAAATAAGGACATTGAGCTTTTAATATTAAAGAATGGGCTTTAAAATTTTGAGTATTATCATCTTTTCCAACTCTGATAACAACATTTGATTCGTCGGTTGAATCAAAATATCTTGAAAAATTTTGTGAAAAATGCGTTAACAATTCTACAGACATTATAAATAAGCAGATGTCGACCGCTTATTTTGGAAAGGAAATGTGAGAAAGAAATTTATGGAAATGTGGCGAAGACAATGGGTATTTATATTTTTTTGTTTTATTGATTGGCGCCATTTTTGATACCGGATAATTGGAAGATCTACTGATGATCTTAGGATGTAATAAAATTTTATGTAACGCTAACAAATAACATTCTTGTGTGATCAGCGACAAATAGGATTTCATAGTGATTTCATACCTCAAAAAGAAGATCAACTGATGATCTTAAACTTCTTGGGCATGCTAAGTGATGTAGTACTACTATTGGTTAAATAAATTTTGTAGTTTTTTTTTATTGTGAATTCAAAAAAAAAACCATGACTTTTCTTAGGCATTTAACGAATGTTTGTAGAGCACCAACAAAAAAGAATATTATTTCAAATTATAGACCATTTGTTCTTTCTAATACTATCGAGCAAAGCCAAAAGAGTTCTAAACTTTTATTTAAAAATAATGTTATAAAAAGGAATTTAGCTTCAGAAGCTGAAAAAAAGAGAAAACATGACCATTATGCTATTTCTGTCACTACTCCTATGACTCAAATCACTCCTGATGATATTGGTCCTCTGCTTGGAAGTAAAATATCGATTTTTTTCCATGATATTAATTTAACATGGAATGAATTTAATTTCGGATATGTTTAACATTTTTTAATAATTTAGAATCAATCGCTGAAGAATCAACCGAATCACTTATTGGTAATTTTAAAAATCTTTAATTTCAAGAAAATTCGAACCTAATTTTTATCTAATTTTTTTGTCATTTGTTCACAGAATCCACTGATCCGCAAGAATTAAAAACGGAAGGATACACAGTTAATTTTGGGCCACAACATCCAGCAGCTCACGGTGTACTTCGTATGATCCTTACATTAAAAGGAGAAAAAATCCTTAGAGCAGATCCACATATTGGATTGTTACATCGTGGCACGGAAAAATTAATTGAATATAAAACTTATTTACAAGCTTTGCCTTACTTCGATCGATTGGATTACGTATCAATGATGACAAACGAACAAGCTTATTCATTAGCTGTGGAAAAATTATTGAATATTGATATCCCTGAACGTGCAAAATATATTCGTACTTTATTTGGAGAGATTACCAGAATCTTGAATCATCTTATGGCTTTAATGAGTCATGCTTTGGGTATTTATTATTCTTGAAAAGAATATGAAATTATTAGAATGATTTATTAAAATTTTTTATTGTTTGAAAATAGATATTGGTGCATTAACTCCTTTCTTGTGGATGTTTGAGGAGCGTGAAAAGGTAAAACAAATATATATTATGTATTGAAATATATATATAATTACAATAATAATATTTTTAAACCTTTCAAATCCTCATCTTTACTTCACTAGTTGATGGAATATTATGAACGTGTGTCAGGAGCTAGATTACATGCAGCATATGTTCGTCCAGGTGGAGTTGCACAAGATATGCCACTTGGATTGTTGGAAGATATTTATCAGTGGGCTACACAATATGGTACCAGGATAGATGAAGTAGAAGAATTATTAACAGCAAATCGTATTTGGAAAGAACGTACCATTGGAATTGGTGTGGTAACAGCTCAACAAGCATTGGATTATAGTTTCTCTGGAGTTATGTTACGTGGTTCTGGAATAAAATGGGATTTACGTAAGGTACAACCTTATGATGCTTATGATAAAGTAGAATTTGATGTACCCGTTGGATCGAATGGAGATTGTTATGATAGATATTTATGTAGAGTTGAAGAAATGAGACAAAGTTTAAGAATAATTGAGCAATGTATAAACAGAATGCCTCCCGGTCCTGTTAAAGTTGACGATTGGAAAATTTCTCCTCCTAAAAGATCTAGTATGAAGGAGAATATGGAAGCTTTAATTCATCATTTCAAATTATACTCGGAAGGTTATTCCGTACCCCCAGGAGAAACTTATACGGTCATTGAAGCTCCAAAAGGCGAATTTGGGGGTGCGTAGATTAATTTTACTTAAAAAAATTTCTTTTATTTGTTACCTTTACTTGATATATTAACTTACTTTTTTTGCTTTTGTCATCAGTTCATTTGGTTTCTGACGGTAACGAAAAATCGTTGTTTAACACCATTCTCATAAAAGTTACTAAAGATAGAATATATATTTTTTTTAGGCACCAATCGACCGTATAGATGCAAAATTCGCGCTCCTGGCTTTGCTCATTTATCTGGAACAGATTTTATGGCCAAAGGACATTTCGTCCCTGATATAGTTGCAGGTATTTATTTATTGTTGGAAATAGTTATTGTGAATGTTTATATTCTTGAGAAGACGATCATTTGGCACCAAGATTTTTTTAAAAAAATAATTTGCTAATTACTTTTTTTCTTTTTATTTCCATTTTAAAAAAGTAATTGGAACACTTGATATCGTGTTTGGAGAGGTTTGTTTATAATACAATTCGATTTTTTTTTGGGGGTTGAATTTTTTTTTTGGTTAATAAAAACTTCTGTTTTGTAGGTTGACCGCTAATTTTGTGTTCAGGTAACATAAGATTATTTAAAATTTAAATCTTCTGAGTATATATTTATATATTTTGCGCAATAATCTTGTATTATACTTTATAAAACGTCGCAAATTTCTTAATTAATTTAATAATAAAAGACATTATCATGATGATTATTGACGCATAAATTTGATTTGAAATATTTTTTTTGTGATTGAAAATTTTATTAACGTATTATATTTAAAAAAAAACAACAATTTAATTTACAAATTTTACAAAATCAAAATAACTGTTAAGCTAAATTATTTTAGCAATGTTTTTTTTTTAAAAAGAAAAAAAATTGTCATTTGATCCATTTTTCATTTAAGTGTTGTTAATTCTTTTTCTAATAACTTGGAAAACTTCATAATCTTCAACAGCAAAAGTACCATTTTTAACAGCTCCAGTCCAACTTTCCCAAGAATCTCTATGAAACATATCACCAACCGATTGGTCATAAGATTCCTTGTTACAAGAACAATTTCCAGGTTGATCAAATTGATCTCTTAACCATAAATCACCATCACCAAAACAGGGACCAGTAGATTGACTATCATTTACAGCATATGCAGAAGAATTAGTTATTACACGACCAATTTTAGCTGTTAAATTTTTCTTATAATAAATATTAAATTGAAAAATGAAAGCGTCACGAGTATTCCTCCAAGAATTTGTTGAACCCCAAGAAAGTGGATTATAACCACCAATAACATGTTTTGAATCATTTACTTTAAGACAAGTAATGGTTGGACCTTGATTATCACATAAATCATGAAAAATTGAAGCGCTAAACCCATCACGACTTCCTTTACATAATAATCTAAGTTCATAAGGTAAATCACCATTATAATTTGTTAAATTTGGAATTGAAGTTGAATCGACACCATCAATCCAAGAACATAACATAGCAGCATGATTTTTATCAATTATAGAAGATTTAACCCCATTGTATCTTGGAGTTTGTAAATAATCAGATTTAAGTTGTAAACCGGTCTTTAAGTGATATCTCTTTAAATCTTCATATAATTCTTTTGAAAGGATTTTTTTAAAAGGACGAACTTTGTTATAAAATTCAGCTGAAGTCATTACAAAAAATCTTACGAGAGGAATTAAATTATCAAGAGTTTCTTTAAGTAAAGTAAAATCTTCATTTTTCCATTTTGATACATCAATCGTAAGTTCAGGATTTTGTGCTATACCCCATTCTAATAAATGATCCCAAATAACAGATTCTTCCATATCTAAATCATTTCTTACTAATAAACCAATTAAAATTTCTTCTTCAAGATTTGTAAAATCTTTTGATCTGAAAATTGTTTGTGGATCTTCACAAATAGTTTCTAAACAAAATTCTTGTAACCCTTTAGAAAGTTCTAATTGAAATACTGTTTTATGAACAAGGGAGAAATTTCTTTGTAACCAATCAGATTTGCGTAAAAGTAAATAATCCTGAATTGCGTTATGAAGTTCATTAAGTAAAAGTTCATCAGATGCAACCAATAATTTTAATAAATCTTTTCCTTTTAGTTGATCCATAGCAATTTCTCCCGCATACATAAATCTATTATAAAAAACGAAATAAAAAAATTAATACCTTATTAAAAACAAAATAAATAAAATTTTTGAGATACTTACTTGAGAATTAATTCAAAGATATAAGGAGAAATATTTGGCTTGTAAAAGACTGTGATATCATTTTCTTTTTTAGCCCAATTATTTGATAAAGCAGTTTTAAAATAAGGGGATCTTGCTCTTAATACAAGTGAATGAGCATGAAATGATTTTTCATCATTTTCATCAGCTCCTACTTTAATTAAAACATTATATTCGTCTGAATCTTCCATAATATTTGCAAAATCTCGTGATAATGTTATTAAAAAATCTGTCATGCTTTGAGAATTTTTTTGGCGGGAAATCGTTTTTAAATATGGTTATAATTAAGTTATTCTGAACGAATTTAGAATTTTTTTAGTTTTTTTTAATCTTTTTAAAGATATTCAACACATTTTTATATATTCTGACAATGCATTAACATACCTAGAAACTTTATGAAGATCAATGATAGACAATGTTTAAAATTCATTATGTTATGGTCAATGAAATTTTTATTGTTCTAAAGATAAAACGTGTGTTACGGGAAAGAAGGGGTTAGTAACGTTTAATAACGTACTAAAGTAAGCCACAAAGAATAACAAGACAATATTTACAATATTAAAAAGTATATTGCAAATTTGCAACCCCTTACTAGGTATTATTTATACATTGTTTGTGAAAAATGATACAACTTATTTGTTTGTTGTTTTAATACGAGTGTTAAAAAAGGAGGTTTTATGCTTTATTAGGGTAAAAAAGAATACCGATGCAAGAAAAAATTATAAGATTTACATAAATTATTATATTATTATTCTTTGTAAATTTAAATTATTTGCATGATTAAAAAAGTTGTACTTTAGTAAGACCATCACCTCTATCATAATTATTATAGTTACACAGGCTACAACGCGACCACCAATCAAATTGCTTTGTCTATTCTTAGTTATTCGGATAGAACGATAGTTATAAAATGTTTTATTTATTACCAACTTTTTAATTTACACAATGGTATTTTAATTACAAATATTTGGTAATTGCGTAATTATATAAAATTTATCATCATTTATTACCTGTTTATGATATATTTATCATATATTTAACGTGACCAGATTCATATCATGTGATTCCTTTAATCCAACCAACATTTATCAAACAAGTAAAAACAGTAAAAACAAATGGTGAGCTGAAATCTAAAAAATGTTCTTATAATGTGTAGCAAAAATTTTTTTTTTGACAAATGAAATTTCATTCCTTTAATATTTGCAAATTAAAGATTAAGTCACCGTTTATTGTGAATCCGTTGAAAATCATCCGATATAAACCGATTAAAACAATCAGACTCCTCTAAACAGATTAAACGATAACAGATAAGGTATTCCTTATGTTTTATGCATAAAACCCGATAAAATAAAAAATTATGATGTCATAGGGTTACGCCCAACTGCCCAGTATTACAGAAGGAGATTTTTTTTTTTCAATTATTTCCCGACATAATATCCCGAATAGAGAATATACAATTTTTTTTTATAATAAACCTGTTATTACCTGTTATTATATTATATAATTTTTTTTTTTTGGTTTACAGTTTCCGATATGCGATGTTGAAAAACTCGTTTTTTTGTAATGCATTAAACCTTATTCGAAAACACATATGTAATCCCTGTAATCCCCCTAAAAAAATAAATAAATAAATATAGATAAACGATCAAATTCAGAAAAAAAAAAAAAATTTTTTTTTCTTTTCCCTCCTTATCATTAAATCTATTATTTTAAACATGTCTCAAGATAAGCGTCGATTAAGTGAAGAAGATATGAGAAGTGGAAGTCCTAGTAATACTAATTTAATAGACGAAAGTTTAAGGGATCCCGATAATCGATCAGTTAGTTTAATGGGTTCATCACCAACTAACGCGAATAACAACAATACAACAACTGGTCTACCGACAAAATTAGCGAGACGTAAATCATATAATGTATCGGAAGAAGACGATGATTATAACGATGATGATGGTAACAATAAAAGAATGGGGATAAGAAGGCGACCGTCATATAGAAGACGTAAAAGTACTAATAGCGAAAGGAATGAGAATGAAGATAACGATGATGCTGATGACGAACCTTTAGACGGAAGTGATCATGAATTCACTCTTAAGGAACGACAAGATGTAAGTATTCTAAATATTTACGGACAATGGCGTGATTATAAGATAATCAATTTTTCCCTTTATTATAGGCTATAAATACAATACATCCATTTGGATTACGGCTGTGGAAACCAGCATTGTATAAAAAATCGCGATCAGTTACAAGGGATGCAAATTCTGCACTTCATTCAACACCATCACCGGATTTAAATCTATATCCAGGAAACATTTTATGGGCATTAAGTTGTGGCTGGTGGTTAGCACTAATATCTTTTATAGTGTCAATTTTTCTCTCAGGTACACCAGGGGGAGGTCAATATGCAAGAGTATTAAGAGAATTAAGTTATTATATATTTTGGCCTTTTGGTAAATATGTTGAAAGGTGGGAAGTAGAAGATGAAGAATGGTTTGCAGCTGATGAAGATTTGAGAAGAAGACAAAGACAACAACAAGAACGAGTAGGAAATATGAATCATAATGATTTTTTTATTGCAAGAGAAACCATGATCGTTACTGATGTTGATAGTGTAACTACTGATGAAGAAGTTAATAACGAAGATAGACCTTTACTAGAACGTACTAGTGGCTATAAAAGTAATAGGAAGGGAAAGAAAGATTTTAATTTATTTAAAACAATAAAAGAACTTGGATTTGCTGATATTGTATTTTACTTTTGGTTCTTTCTCATAATTGGTATGTATTGAAGAATTTAATAAACAATTATATGTTTGCGAATTAATTATTTATATTAATTGAGAATTTTTTTTGACTTTTTCTCTGTGTTGTTAATAGCTCCAGTATATTTATTTGTATCTGCTTTGTGTTGGTTGTGTGTTTTTTCAATTCCGATGGCAAAATTGACATTTTTATTAGTTAGACATTTGCGTAAACATCCATTATCACTACATTTTAAACCCGGTTCCTCATTATCATTACTCACAAACCAACGTTCTCTGATATTATTATGTACATATAAAGCTTTCGGAAAGCAATATTATAAATATACATATGATGGAATTAATATAATTTTTATAAATTTAATGGGATTTGTATTCTTTATTATAATAGATTATTTTCTTTTACCTCGGGGGAAATATTTTATTACATCACCAGGGTTTATATTTACTTTATCATTAGCATCAGTTATACCTTTAAGTTATTTTATTGGTATGGCTGTAGCTTCTATTTCGGCTCAATCTTCAGCAGGATTAGGTGCAGTTATTAATGCTACTTTTGGTAGTATTATCGAAGTTATTTTATATGCTCTTGCTTTGACTGAAGGCAAAGGCAAAGTAGCTGAAGGGAGCATTATTGGTAGTTTAATGGCTGGCGTATTATTGATGCCTGGTATTAGTATGATTAGTGGTGGATTTAAACGTAAAGAACAAAGATTTAATGCCAAATCTGCAGGTAAGATTATTTTTGATCACCTTGAAAATTTTCACCTTAATTATTAATTGACATTATTCTTTTATTAGGAGTTACATCCACTATGCTTATTATGGCTATTATTGGTACACTCACTCCAACACTATTCTATCAAACTTATGCTCCTGTATGTAGCAAATTATTTTTTGATTTTTTTTTTTTTTTTTTTTTTTTCCTGGAAAAATAGTATAAGATGACATGCGTTCCATGTAAAGGGCACACTGAATTAACAGCAGAATGTCAAGTTTGTTCTCATGATCAAGTAGATCCAACATCTACTTTGTTATACAAAGAACATGTAAAACCGCTTATGTTTTTTTGCGCTTTTATTCTATTACTTGTAAGTAATACATCTATTTATTTATTTAAAAAAACTCGCCTATTTATTAAATAAAATTGTTAATTACTCCTCTTTATTCACCAGTCATATCTTATCGGATTATGGTTTACGTTGAGAACACACGCATCATTAGTATGGCAAACTAGTCATCATCTTCATACACCTCATACATACGTATACAACACAAATCCACATTCCGCTCCAATAAAGAAATTTGGTTCACAGATTCAACAATTAACTAATACATATAGTACACAAACTTCTACGCTACCACAAAGACCAATGTCAGCTCCTAGTACAAGTTTAAATACACCTGAGCATAATAATATACATGACTTGGCTCATTTAACCGCAACATTATCCTCACAAAATCAACCTTCTCAAATACAAATTAGATTTGCTCATGAACCAGAAGAAGAAGAACCTGGTGGTCATGATTCTCCTAATTGGAGTAAAACTAAAAGCGGAATAGTATTATTAGCTTGTACTGCTTTATATTCTATTATAGCTGAAATGCTAGTACAAAATGTTGAAGTTGTATTGGATAACTTTGTTATTACCGAAAAATTATTAGGATTAACCTTATTCGCTTTAGTACCTAATGTAACTGAATTTGTTAATGCTATGTCTTTTGCTTTATATGGCAATATTGCTCTAAGCATGGAAATTGGTTCTGCTTATGCTTTACAAGTTTGTCTTTTACAAATTCCTGCTATGGTTGCCTTTTCTGCTTGGTATAATGCTGGTAAACAAGATGGAGATGAAACTTTAAATACTACTTTCACGTAAGTAATCTTCTATGTAATAAGCCGGTTTTTTAAGAACACTCGATTAATGAAAATTTAAATCAATTTTTTATAGGTTGGTTTTCCCTAGATGGGACGTATTTTCAGTAATATTTCCAGTATTTTTATTGACTTATACTTACATTGAAGGAAAATCCAATTATTTTAAAGGATCAATTTTGATTCTTTCTTATTTGGTTTTAATGGCTGGCTTTTTTTCTTCTCCTGAAGATGCTGATAGTCATTATTAAAAAATGAAAACAATGTAATTATTATTTTTTATTGTGACATTCACAATAAAATAATATTGTTTTTAATTGTAATTCAATTTTTCTTTATTTTATTTCTGATTATAAGAATTATATTAAATTTGCATTAAACTAACATAAATACCTATTACTTGGTTTATTAATATAATATTATAATTATTTGATTTGTAAATATTCTATTTAACATTAAAAAAATAATTTATTTTTAATTATAGTAATTATATTATGTTTGCAAGTAATAAATAAAATCATCTTTTATATTTAAGTTATTCAGCAAGATTAAAATCATATTTAAATTATACTTAATAATATAATTAATTTATATTTTTAATATATATTATAAAAGAAAATTTCTTAATTTATACTAGATGTTTATACATTTATCATATAACTTTATTAAAAAGTTATGTAAAAAAAAATTTTAATAAATATAATCTTAAAAGAAATATGAAATATGCAATATATGTATTATTGTCTATTCTATAAATTTACTTAAAACATCAAAGTTGATTTGAATGTCAATTTTAATTTATTTAACAATTTTTTTTCCTGTTTTTTTTTGTTAAATCTAATTCTATTGAACATTAAATAATCAGTATAGAAAATTTACTTTTTTGAAAACCTATTTTATTTTCACAATTTTACAGTTCACATTAACATATTCACGCTCATTTATTTAAGAAAATTCTCATGCTACTTTTGACTATATAAATAAAATTATGTTTTTTTTATTTATACCCCTTATAAATTTTTTTTGTAATTCTTATAACCTAATTCTATATTTTTGCTACTCTTATGTTTTCTTACAAATTTTCTAAATTTTTTTTTTATTTAATAAAAATTCTTTTGTATAATGAGTTTTAATTATTATCCTGGTAAAAATTTTGATATTGATCTTACTTTAGAACTGCAAAACTGGATGTTTAAAAGTTCAGATACTTTACATAAAACTTTTTATTTACTAGCAATTATTAGAAAGCTACTTGGCACTCAAATAATTTCTTTTTTACAAATACAAAAAATAAAGAAAAAGGTAAAATTATAATGAATAATAATAATTATAATTTTCATCTATATCAATGCATATTTTCTAATATTAAATTTAAAAAGCTAGTTAAGATAAGAATTTATATAAATAAAAAAAGCCATTATTTATCTAAGAATATTTTGAAAAAAAAATTAATAATAAAGGTAAATTAATAACAAAGGTAATGAGATACAAATTTGCAAAATTTTAGATGAAAGTAGTAAAAGATATGGCTAAGAATATAAGAATATTGGAAGTTTAACAGAAAATTTCATTACACACTTTAGGAAATAGTAGGGATAAACATATTTTAAAAAAAATATGATAAATACTGTATATATGATATTGTATACATTATGAATTTTATATTAAATACATTATACTTCTTAGTCACAAAATTCTAAGATTACTAATTTTATGTGAAATTATCATTCTCATTCTAAGCATATTACTGGTCAAAATAAAAACTTTTGGTCATGTGACAAATTGGCTGATCTGTCATATATTTTGGCCAAATTTCAGAAATTATTAAAAATTGGCCAAATTTCGACATATATGATTTATGGTCAATTTATTGAATTATTTAAATATTATGCGTTACGTGTTATGCATATTAAAAGTTTAAAAAAAGATCATCTTATACATTTTTTTTTAAACTTTTTTTAATTTTTTTCTTCCCCTCCTCTTTCCTTTCTTTCGTTCCCCTTTCCTGTTTCCTTCTTTCCCTTTCCCTTCCTTCATTCTTCTTTCCCTTCCTTCTCTTTTTCCTTCCTTCCCCTTCCTCCTTTCACTTTTTTACTTTTTTTTATAGGTTCAGCTTTCGGGTGAACTTCCAAAGTACGAAAATTCCAAAGTTTTATAAATACGAATTCTTTGGAGTTTATTTTATTTTTTTTAATATGAACAATTACTAAACATTCTTTTTTCTTTCTTTTTTTTTAGGTTCAGCCGTTCAGGTGGACTTTCAAAGTACAGAAACTCCAAAGATTCGTAAGTACAAATACTTTGAAGTTTATTTTTTTTTTTTTTAATATGAACGGTTACTAACCGTTCTTCTTTCTTTCTTTTTTTAGGTTCAGCCGTTCAGATGGACTTCCGAAGTACAGAAACTCCAAAGATTTGTAAGTACAAATACTTTGGAGTTTATTTTATTTTTTTTTAATATGAACAGTTACTAACTATTTTTTTTTCTTTTTTTTTAGGTTCGGCCGTTCAGATAACTTTTAACGAATGGAAAAAACTAAGTTTTATAAGTTCAGAACTTAGTTTATTTTTTTTTAATATTATAAACAGTTATTAACCGTTCTTTTTCTTTTATTTTTTTATAGGTTCAGTGTTTCAGGTAGGGCTTTTGAGTTTCAAAGAATGAAAAAAACTAAGATTCGTGAGTATATATGAATCTTAGTTTTAATTTTTTTTGTTTTTTTTAATTTTATTAATGAACAGTTACTAATAACCGTTCCTTTCTTTATTTTTTAGGTTGGATGGGCTTCTGAAGAACGAAACCCCAAAAATAAAGATTCGTAAGTATGAATCTTTATAATTTTTTTTTGTTTTTTTTTTATTACGAACGGTTATTAATAACCTATTTTTTAGGTTCAATGAGCTTTTGAAGAATGAAAACCCAAGATAAAGATTCGTAAGTACAAATCTTTATAATTTTTTTTTTGTTTTTTTTTTATCATTTTAGAATGGTTACTAATAACCATTTCTTTCTTTATTTTTTAGGTTCAGTGGGCTTCCAAAGAACGAAAATCTAAAGATAAAGATTCGTAAATACGAATCTTTACTTTATAATTTTTTTTTATTTTTTTTATCATTTTGGAACAGTTACTAATAACCATTCCTTTCTTTATTTTTTTAGGTGCGATGGGCTTCTAATGAACAAAAACCCAAAGATAAAGATTCGTAAATATGAATCTTTACTTTTTTTTTTAATTTTATTAATAAACAGTTACTAATAACCATTTTTTTTCTTTATTTTTTTAGGTGCAGTAGGCTTCTGACAAATAAAAACTCAAAAATTTGTAAGTACTAGTATTAATCTTTACTTTTTTTTCTTTTTTTTTAATTTTATTAATGAATAGTTACTAATAACCGTTCTTTTCTTTTTTATAGGTTCGGGTGGACTTCTAAAGAATGGAAAAAGAAGAACCTTTAAGATTTGTAAGTAATATATTTATGAATCTTTTTTTAATGTTATGAAACGGTTACTAACCGTTCCTTTGATTTTTTTTTATAGGTTCAGGTAGATTTCCGTCTTTTTAAGGAATGGAAAAAATTAAAGATTCAGTATAAATCTTTATTTTTTTATTTTTGTTTATTATTATGAACGGTTTTTAACCATTTTTTTCTTTTTTTTTAAGTCAGTATTTTCCGAAGAATGAAAAAAAACCAAGATTTGTAAGTACAAATTTTGGTTTTATTTTTATTTTTTTTATAATATTAACGAACGGTTACTGATAACTGTTCTTATTTTATTTTTTTGGGTTCAGTAGGCTTCTGAGTTCTGAAGAATAATGGAAAACCAAGATTCGTAAGTAAGTACAAATCTTGATTTTTTTTTTATTTTTTATTTTTATTTTTTATTATTACGAACAGTTTACTAATAACCATTCTTTTTTTTGTAGGTTTCGGGATCTTTAGAAAAAGTAGAACCAAGATTTGTAAATACAAATCTTGGTTTATTTTTTATTTTTTTTTAATATTATTATGAACGGTTATTAATAACTGCTTTTTTTTTTTCTTTTTATAGGTTTGGTGTCTCAGGTAGGTTCTGATAAACAGAAAAAAACCAAAGATTCATAAGTAGAATCTTGGAGTTTTTTTGCTTTTTTTTAATATTATGGAACAGTTATTAACTGTTCTTTTCTTTTTTTTATAGTTTTGGTGGGTTTCCAAAAGATCAAGATTCGTAAGTATATATAAAATACATGAATTATGTGATTGTAGAATTGTAGATTAGCAATACTTATTTGTAATATGCATTTATAAATAAAGTTGTGATTTTATTGTAAATATCAAATAAAATGAGTTGTGGCTGAATATTAGTAAATAAATTTAATACAAATTTGCAATATAAATTAAGTAACATTTGGAAAACTATTCACCAAAATTTGCTATCTAAAATTGTTCTGAATGTTAACTGAATTTTGGCCAAAATTTTAAGCTAAACTTTAGGTAAGTGGCAATGAATTGCAGCCAAAAAATCAGCCAAAGTTCAACCAGCATTAGACCATAAATCAGCCTAAAATCGGCTGGCTGAATTTTGGCTGATTTGGACTATTTTGACCAGTATATACAAAAAAGGTATGAAAAAATAACTCTTAAATAGATGTTACTCATAAATTAACCTCTTTCTGCAGTTACTAATGAAGCATACAGAAATTTGTTCTAGAAGAACAAAAGATTAAAATAATAATTATTAAAAGTTATAAATATAATCATCAAAATTTGCAAAATCTCTTTATTGAAACTGTAGAAAATATATCTCTTACAATAATGGATTTTTGATCTAATAAAGTCAAGCATAAATATTTAAGAATTATTGCAATCTGAATTACATTAAATTTTGAAGTAAAAGATATAATATTAGAAAACAAGTATATTTCATTTCTACATTTTAGTAAAGTTATTATTAGTGAACTATACAAATATATTAAAGATTGAAATTTTGAGCAGTGGATAACATCAATTATCCCCTGATCGGCACCATTTACACGTTTATGCAAATGTAGTTATACCTACTGGGTAGCCAATTTTATATGTATTTATTTATCCGTTTCTAGGAAATTTTGCGGTAAAAATTAATTATTGATTATACTATAATGGACTGATTCGAAAATTTGAGTAATTCGGAAAGATTTGCATTTTCTAAATGAGAAAAACTTTCTTTTAATTTATTTGTAATCTCAATACTATTTTTCAAGTGTAATAGTAATGGTTCCGAAACTTTTTAAAATTTATTTTTTTATTTTAAAATTTTTAAAATGAAACAAAACTAAGCGTAAATTCAACAATAAAATATACTATATTATACTCATGATATACTATAAAACACTTACTATTGTGTAAATGGCAGGGGATAAATCAATTATCTCCTGGCTAATTGGAATAGTAAAATTTTACTTAGAATCAGAATATGATCGGCCTTTGGCTGATCATTTATCCAATCCTAGTAAAATTTTACTTATTCCTAATTAGCCAGGAGATAAGTAATACTTATTACTGATAATAACTTTAATATAGTTTAATTTATTGAAGCAGAAAAATGAATGTAAAAGTATTCAACATCTTTCTTGCATATCATATACCATTCATCTGGCAATTGGAAAGGAATCAGATTAGAACCTGCAGAAATTTTGGTAAAATGTGCAAAGAGATTGGTTTATTTTTTTTAATATCAAAACCAAGTAGAAAGATTGAAGTAGGTGAGAACCCCGCCTACTACTAAGATATGTTACTGGTAGAAATTTCACTTTCATATGAAACCTTACCTTAGGATTTGCTTAAATTTTATTGGTTAATTGATTAAAAAGGAAAAAAATCATAACATAAAATTTCCTTTTATAGTAGGATCTTTAAAGAGTTTTATATGTAAATCTTACCTTAGGCCATAGGGTGACCTATCTTAATAGTAGGCAGGCTAGTAGGTGCAAAAAAAGCTTGACTATGTAGATATTATGCATTGTATTTAGGATATATTTACAAAATGAAATTCAGTATATTATACTTAAAACTTACTTTTTTTTTTAAAGATACTATTATTTAACTACAAACAGATTTATGTATATTAACTGATGAGGAAAGTAAAAAAAATGTCAATTGATTAAAAAAATTTTACTTTCTGATGATGAATGAAGTTTGTTAAATCAACTTGTTGATTTATTAATGCCATTTGAGAAGGCAACCCGTAAATTTTCTGGAAATACATATATTACTTTAAGCCAGACTATTCCAATCATTAAAGTAAGAATTTTTGATTTAGCTGCTGAAAAACCACTAAATGCTGATGAATTTTTAAGTGAGGATACTGTATTTGAATCTAAAGCTGCAAAAATACAATCTCTTATTGATTTTGATGATGATAAAGTTATCAGTAATATTACAAAGAAAAGTATTTCAATTAAAAATCCATTAGATATAACAGGTTGGAATTTTTTTATAGTATATAGAATACTATGTTACTAATTATTATATATTACATAAAAATCAATTAATATAAACCTATATGGCTAAATGATAATATTTAATAAAATGTATTATGAACTTTTTATAAATAAAATTTCAGCTTCTTAACATTTATAGTTATTGAAATATTCAGATTTTTACCACACAATTTTTTTTTAATATACTGCAAATGAAAATAAATACCAAAGATTATATAAGATATAATTATTTAGGTAGAACTGGAATATTTTTATTATTAATAATATTAAATATAATTTATTAATTCTATATATCTCTTTAATGATATACCGCTATATGTATACTATTTATTATTAAACACTATTTATAACTGGTTATACTAACTTTAGAAAATAAGTTAGAAATTCTATCTTTAGTTAATGAAGTTTTGTTGCTAAAGTAAAATCTAAAAGTATTCATATTATAAATCATTTGCTTATTCTTATGGTTTTATTATTTCATACTAAGTGACTATCAAATATAGTAAAACTTTTAAGAATCAAAAGGACTCGATAATGACATGCCAAACAGGCAAACTAATTCAAATAAACCAAACAAAAAGTTGCATAATGACTTTAATTTATTATGCAAAAAAGTAAATTAGAATTTTAAATATAGCATTCATTAACATTAGGTTTACATTTGATTCTTGGTTTTTAGGTTTATCTTCATTCTACAATCACGTTTAAAAAAAATTGCTCAGTTTAATTTTAGTACCTTTAATAGCTAGTTCTAATAACTCACCGAAGCCGTTAAGTAATATATACGTGGTGACAAAAATTTCATAGCCAATCAAGTGATTGACATCCGAATTTATAATGTTATTGGATAAAATAAAAAAAAATGCGTAGACTCATGTGATAAAATTAATTACAGAGGGCAGGATGGCTCCGATTCAGCTTATAGGATTATACCTCAATTTCGTGAATTCATTTTTCTATTTGCATTAAAAGTTACCATGTCTGACTGGGGTAAGTTGTATAATTATTATTTTATTCCATAATTTATTATTATACTTCTTGCTTTACCCATTATATTGTCAGTTTCCTTTATTTCTGTATGATCGTATGAATTAATTCATATTAAATGATTTTACAGAGGATAACGATCATGATAATATTTCCGTTCGTGTTGCCAAACCGAACAAATGGGACGATGAGGATGTTGAAAAAGAAGAAGACGTCAAAGTACACTTTTTTCTTTTGATTCTATCATTAGTAAATTGTTTTAATCAAATTAATTTAATCAATTAAAACGTTATTTTAGGATAATTGGGATGAATCATCGGATGAAGAAAATGAAAAGGCAAAAACTACAACTACTCCAGCAGCACCACCGAAAAAGAAAATAAGTGCGGCACAGAAGGCAATCGCAAAGAAAATGGTAAATTGTTATCTTATTTGATTTCCGTGATATGAAAAACTTAATATATATATTATTTGTTTGATTCAGATTAATAATGATGTTAATGAAGAGGAAGATGAATTAGAAAGAAAAAGAAGAGAACAACAAGCTATAAAAGATGCAGACATGGAAAATACTAAGGAAATGTTTGGAGGATTAGCCATACAAGGTTAAAAATCATTTTTCATTCGGAAAATCAGTTTATTCCTTTATTAATATTTTTTAATCAAATTTTTTTTATTATTTCTACAGAAACTGGAACATTAAACTCCATGAAATCGAACAACTCGGCTCAATTTGTAGTTACAAAAGGTTGGAAATTATTGAGATAATTACCATTAGGAAGTTTATGTTTAATTAAACTAGATTAATTTAATTTTTATTTTATTTTATAGAAACGACATCACCATTAGATAAAATAAATCCGAAAACAAAAGAAGATTTTGACAAGTTTTCCAAACTTTTAGTTGACCGAATTCAAAAACACGGGGTATTTGTTTAACAATCATTTTATCTTATTATTAATTTGCTAATCTTATTTTGTTACATAATTGTTTAGAGCCATCACTTGTATGTTAATTTCATCAACGGACTTGTACGTGAACTTTGTCTTCCTCTTAAAGAAACTGAAGCGCGTAAAATTGCAAATACACTGACGACTTTGGCAGATAGTAAACTACCAAAACCAAAGAAAAAAAGTATGATGAAACTTTTATTGAGTTTAGAATTTCTTATTTTATATTTATTAAAATTGTTGATTTTTTTAGCCAATTCTAAACCTGTGCTTCAAGTTGAAAATTTTGATTCAGTTGATGCAGCAGATTATGTAGAATATGTATACGATGAATTTGAGGACTTTATTTGATCCTAGGGCAATTATATATACACAAGTTGAAATTTGTTGTTCTTTATATAATGGATTATTATAACATATTAAGCTTCTTTTTAGCTCCTTGGTTTTTTTTAGCTTTTTATTTCTAGCTGTTTTCATTATCATTCTGAAGTTAATTATTTTATGTATTTACTAATTTTTATAATTTTCATCGATGCAGTAAAACAGAATAGGATTAAAAGCTACCAAAATCAATAATCTCGTTATCTCATTATTTATTTTATAATGTATTAATATAATTTCCCTATAATTACAATACTCTTAAAGTTAATAATAAATAGTACAAGAGGTCAAATATTTATTAAATGGTAAGATTATAATATTCTATTATTGTACATAAAAATACATCATTTATATCAAATATCGAATTCGATATAAAATTGATCACATCGATTACTGCTGACAATACGATAGTTTACGAGTTTTCTCTCTGCATATTTTTGAATTTCTATATTTAAATTATATAAATCATCACTTTCAACGTAATCAAACATTTTAAAACCAACCACTTTCAATAGCCCATCAAATTGCGAAAAAAAAGCTTCTAAATCACCAATCTCAATACTAATCATTAGAATCAGATTATTAAGGTTTTTAGGAATACTTTTTGCTAAAATGCCCATACTTTTATTAATATAATTCTTGTTTTTAATGCTTAATCTAAGGCTTATCGATTCAAGTTGTTGACATTGAGTAAAAATTGGAATGATACTTTCAATGTTATGATCACCACCAACGCACATATCTAAAACTTTAATATTGGAACAACCATTTGCAATAATATCAAAGATATTTGGCGTGTGTAACTTTAATTCAATTAAAAAAATTTCTTCCAAATTTGATGAACGAGAAATTAATCTAACTATTTCTTTCATAGATGGAATTCCCATATCAAAATGTATTTTTTTTAATGACGGAAAAGAATAATTTATACTTTTACTTTTAATATTATTAATATTATCAATCTCACAATCAATCAAAATCAACGATTCCAAATTTTGTAAAAGTGATATTTCTTTGAATGGAATATCATTATTAAATACACAATCCTCAAAATGTAAGATTCTTAAAGAATGTGACTGATATGAAAAAGAATCAATCATCCCATTAAAATTATACTTGTTCATACCTATAACTTTAAGTTCTTTTAAATTTTTTAGACTTTTAGTTAAATTCGAAAAAGAATATATAAAATTATCATCTTCAAAGATTATTTCAAGAATTTCAATATCATGACAAATATTTATCATGATATTAATTATTGATTGCAAATCATACAAACCACCACTTACAAATTTCTTTAGATTTGCCAATGCTGAAGAAGCATTTTCAAGTTTAAAAATATTAATCCACTTTTCACATATGTCATTACCATTATCCATTTCACTTGTGCAAAGGTTAAGACTAATAATTTTATTGGAATGTAATAAAAATATTTGACAAAGCTTTGATGTGAGTAATAAAATTTTATCTTTTAAATTTTCAACTTCATCTTGCGAAAAATCTTCCAGCTCCTCACTATTCCAATCATAATCTTGCGAATTATCTTCCAACTCCTCACTATTCCAATCATTATCTTCTTCCTCAACAAATTCGTAATAATTATTATCATGTTCATTAAATTCATAGTATGCATCAACATCGAGATCTTGTTCCATAAATAATCTTTTTTCTTCATCAGGAATAGGAACATATTCACCTTCTTTATTCCGAAAATTATAATAATGCCAAACTGCATCATAAATTTCATGAAAATTCAAATGCTGTAAGAAAGATGCATAATTAAATAAAGGAGGTTGTTCAATATTATCATAAAAACGATCATCTGATATAAATTTTAAACAAGTTCTGACTAATAACATTCTATTCTGAGTTGGGCAGATATGAAAAGGTTTTTTCCATAACCAATAAACAGCTGAAAGACTCCATTCACGAGAAACTAAACAACATGAAAATAAGGTGTCGCTATCTGTTTCAAAAATAGAAAATATATGGGATAAAAGTTCTGGTGGTAATATTGATGACATTATGAACAAAAGAAAAAAAAATTTTTTCTTACAAATAAATTAAAATCAAATGTAGATAAAAAACTGTAAGATAAACATTTCTAAATTCCACCGTTACACATGCATGCACAAAAAAATCATTATGTCGAAGATTCAAAGTATTAAACAACTTCAATCATTCTTTCTTTTTAAATTACTTTGAACTTCTATCAAAGGAAATTGTGTTAAAATTAATTGATAATTATATGATATAACTTTTTATACAGGAATCATATAATTTAAACGAGAAAACATGAAAATTGTCAAAAAACGGGTTTCATGTTTTAAGCTTCAAACATTGCGTTCTCAAAAGGTTCATTAATTTTTTAATTAGAATCATGATTATATAAATTACATGAAACACTTATTGTGGCTAAAAAAATTGCGAGAGACGGTAAAATACAATTTATCGTTATTATGTAATCATGATTATGCATGATATAAATTTGCAACCGAAGCAGATATTAGTTTATTTAGAATAGTATATATATTTATATTTAATTATTTACAGCATACAGCTAGGTAAGTTTGAGTATCTGCCATCCACTCGAAGGCGCAAAAATTACCTTCTTGACCCGCCTCACCTAATCAACACTGCATAAATCATCGCGCCCTACTGACCCCTTGCTATAAAATATTTATTTATATTATGCAGAGGGGTGATGATATTACACGGGTCAAGAAGGTAATCTTGCCTCGAAGGCAGACTCATCCTTCGTATATAGAGAATAATAAAAAAAAGAGTATATACATATATATATATGGATGACCTGTTATTAATAGTAACTTTTATAAAATAATTAGTAACACAATTGTAAAATGAAATCACGTGATTCTGAAAACAATAAAATGGACAATTTGAGTTAATAATAAATTTGAAAAGGTGAGAAATTATTTCCTATTGATGAATTACGCTAGTACTATCTCAGATCATGTGTGAGATAAGTGCGAAACTTCAAATATTGCTTATTTTATTTTATTTTATTACTTTATCGGTTTTTCGGGTAAATTTGCTCAAATGCTTAGAATAAAATTGTTCAAATACACCGTCAGGTTGAAACACTAATCTCAATGATGGGCACGTTCAATGATTTCCTTTAATTCGGAAATCTGAGAAAAGACCTTTGAATCAAAAAATAATGATTTTAAAAGCTTCAATATTTTAATCAAAAGTCCTCATTCAGAATCAATTTTATTTCTCTCAGATAATCTTCATAAGTATTATATAATCCCATAGGGGTAGGAATTTTCCCGAACTTATTTATCACTGAATGATGACCGGTTGACAGAATGGATATGAATTTAGCAAAAAAACATTTTTATTAGTCCAAATATGTTATTACATTATAATTATGGCCATCCTCTTATAGTAACTTATTTTTTTAACGAGTCCAAATTTTGATTGGACGGAAATTGGTTCTGTTTTTGTATGAAGATTCTTTTACCAGATATATAAATTAATACTAGTACAGTATCTTTACTGTCCATTATCGAATGTTAAAAATATAAAATATAAAAAATCCTTGATAGCCTGACAAATAAACCAATCAATTGGGTGTATGCTAAGATCCATTACTTTGTTATTTTATGCCATGTAAGTCTCGCTATCCACCAAATTAATCATAGTGATCCATTAAGATTTTACACAACCATAATACACACGTGATTTACTTATCGATTTTTTAGCAGATGATCAAATGTTATTGTTGCTAAGAATTGTGTGACAAAAATCAAGGCAATTTGTCAAAGTATGATTGGGTTTTGCGGGAGTTTATTAAGATTCTAAGCCCCCATTCATTAAATCTATATAACCAAAAAACTCTCGACCAAACTTCACGATCAAATAATTCTTTCACACCTTAAAAAAAATGTCTGATAACGATCTTCCAATACTGTTAGAGGAGATATGTCAGGTAATGTTTCTTTACCGGACTTCTTTTATTATTTCTTGTAAAAAGCAGAATTTTAAAAATATATTATATTTCATCTGTTTGTGCTTTTTGTCATTTAATTTTTTATGTTTTGGAAATTTAAAGACTTGTAAAACAATGTTACGAATCCTAATACTTTTCACATTTTGCTGTTAATAGCTCCAGGAACTCGGTGTAAATTCAAGCAGCATAGGTTTTAACTGGCTGACCATGGAGTCTGACCGTTTTATCTGTGTGCGTGAAACCACTGGGCCGACCAACCAAGTCGTAATAATTGATCTTCAAGATACTTCGAATGTTCTTAAAAGACCAATCACTGCTGATAATGCAATAATGCATCCTTCAGCTAAAATTCTTGCGTTAAAAGGTTTGTTGATAGAAATTTTGCAAAATAAGTGAATTTTAATTAAAATCATGCAATATCGAATTATCTTTGAATTTCAAATTAGCCGCAAGACAATTGCAAATATTCAACCTTGAGTTGAAATCAAAAGTAAAATCACATACCATGCAAGAAGATGTAATGTTTTGGAAATGGATCAATCAAAAGACTCTTGGACTTGTCACAGGAACAGCAGTATATCATTGGTCAATGGAAGGCGATTCAGCTCCGGCTAAGATGTTTGATAGGCATGCGAATCTTGCAAATTCTCAAATTATCAATTATCGAGTTAATGCAGATGAAAGGTGGATGGTTCTAGTGGGAATATCTGCTGTGGTATGTATAATTATAAAAACTATAAATTTAATAGTGTTTTTTCTTTCTTTCTTTTTGGTCTTGCAAAATTTAATCGCTGACATACGATATTAATTTAAATAGGAAGGTAGAGTGGTCGGGAACATGCAATTATATTCTAAAGATCGTAAAGTCAGTCAGCCAATTGAAGGACACGCTGCAGCATTTGCAAATATTGTACTGGAAAACGGAGTTTCACCCACAAGTTTATTTACTTTTGCTATAAGAAGTACAAATGGTGCAAAGGTAAAATAAGGTCATTTATAAGTTAATATTATATGTATAAATACTTATTAAAACTTATTTAATAGTTACATATTGTTGAAGTCGATCATAAAGATGAAAATCCTCAATTTCCGAAGAAGACCGTGGATGTATTTTTCCCATCAGAGGCTACTGGAGATTTCCCTGTCTCCATGCAAGTTAGCAAAAAATATAATATAATTTTTCTCGTAACGAAGTTTGGATATATTCATCTTTACGATCTAGAGACAGGTATATGTATATATATGAATAGAATTAGTGGCGAAACAATTTTTGTAACTGCTGAACGTGAGAATGGTAGTGGGATAGTTGGAGTTAATAGAAAAGGACAGGTAAAGTTGCCATCTTTCGTCATTTTATTGTTCAATAATATTAATAATTATGTATAATTTTTTTTCCAGGTGCTATCGGTTTGTGTGGACGAATCACAAATCATTCCTTATATTATATCGATAAATAATTCAGACTTAGCACTAAGAATCGCTTCAAGATGTAATTTGCTTGGTGCTGAAAAATTATATATGGATAAATTTATGCAATTATTACAGCAAGGAGCGTATAATGAAGCTGCCAAAGTTGCAGCAAATTCCCCTCAAGTAAGAATAATCCATAATAATTCTGGCCTGGTTATTTTTAAATCATTGAAGTCCTTTAATTGTATACTTTAGGGTTTCCTTCGCACACCACAAACAATTGAACGATTTAAAAACGTTTCCGTGCCAGCGGGAGGATTATCCCCTATTTTGCAATATTTCGGAATTCTCTTGGAAAAAGGAGAATTAAACAAACATGAGTCTTTGGAACTTGCAAGACCTGTGTTAGCTCAAAATCGTAAGCAACTATTGGAAAAGTGGTTAAAAGAAGACAAGGTACATTCATCATTTTTATAGATAAATGTAATATAGTTTTTTGTGTTAATTATTTAAATCATTTTTAGTTGGAATGTAGTGAGGAATTAGGTGATATAGTTCGTCAACATGATTTAACATTGGCCCTGTCAGTTTACCTTCGTGCCAATGTTCCGAATAAGGTTGGTAACGAAAAATTTTTTTGAAACTATATTTGTATCTACACTTGATAATTATTTCACTATTGTTATTTATTAGGTAATCGCCTGTTTTGCTGAGACAGGTCAATACTCAAAGATTGTTCTATACGCAAAAAAAGTAGGATTTCAACCAGATTATCCCATATTGCTTCAACAAATTATGTCTAGAGATCCTGAAAAGGGAGCAGAGTTCGCCACTATGTTGGTGAATGATGAAAATGGATCATTAATTGATATTGAAAAAGCAAGTATCTTATATTTATTTATCCCTTAAACGGTAAAATTTTCAACATACCATTTAAAGGATATCGTAATTCTACATTTTTTTGAGAGAACGCAGTTAGTTAATTTTTTTTTTTCCGAAACTATAGGTTGTTGATGTATTCATGTCCAACAATAAAATTCAACAAGCTACTGCGTTCTTATTGGATGCATTAAAAGATAATAAACCTGAACATGGACATTTACAAACCAGGTTGTTAGAGATGAATTTGCTTAACTTCCCACAAGTTGCTGATGCAATTCTTAGCAATGCAATTCTCAGTCATTATGATAAACCTTATATCGCGTCTCTATGTGAGAAAGCTGGTTTATTACAAAGGGTATGTTCTTATTGTACTTATTAAAAGAATTTTTTTTTTTTATATGATATGATTAATATTCATTTGCGTTTGCAGGCACTGGAACATTATACGGAAATTAATGACATAAAGCGTGTAATCATACATACGGGTGCTATGAACGCTGAAGTAAGTTCAACTAGCAATTGTTTAATTGTTTATACTCGTTATATTCATAATAAATAAAGTTTAAGTCATGTGTATACACTTTACCTTAGTTTGTTGTCAATTACTTTGGTACTTTATCGGTCGATCAATCCCTCGAATGCTTGAAAGAAATGTTAAAGAATAACAGGCAGACTTTACAAGTGGTAGTTCAAATTGCGACAAAATATTCCGAACAGTTACAACCAATAAATTTGATTAATTTGTTCGAATCCTTTAAAACTTACGAAGGTAATTAAGATAAACGATATAATTTTTTAAGTTAAATAATATTTAATTTATTCCTTAATTTTTTTAAATAGGATTATATTATTACCTTGGGTCGATTGTCAATCTTAGTACGGATCCGGATGTACATTTCAAATATATTCAGTCTGCTGTAAAGACCGGTCAAATTAAAGAGGCTGAAAGGATATGCCGAGAAAGTAATTATTATGATCCGGAAAAAGTTAAAAACTTTTTAAAGGTACTGTCTATCATTATTATTAATTGTACAATGCAATAATTTACGTTAACTTATTTTAAAAAAATTAATAGGAAGCTAAACTCTCAGACCAGCTTCCCTTAATTATTGTCTGTGATCGATTTGATTTTGTTCATGACTTGGTACTTTATCTTTACCAACAAAATCTGACAAAATATATCGAAGTGTATGTTCAGAAAGTCAATCCTGCTCGTACTCCTGTTGTTATTGGTGGTCTCCTAGATGTCGATTGCGATGAGTCGATTATCAAAGGTCTACTTATGTCTGTTACTGGTTCTCTTCCTGTTGATCAATTGGTTGAAGAAGTTGAAAAGCGCAATCGGCTTAAATTAATTTTACCTTGGTTGGAATTACGTGTACAAGAGAATAGTCAAGATCCAGCCGTCTATAATGCACTTGCCAAGATATATATTGACAGCAATAACAACCCTGAAGCTTTCCTTAGGGAAAATACTGTATGTTGTTAATTGTTTAAACTTTCCTTTCATCAGATGCGTCCAATATTGACTATTTGTTAATTCATAATTATTAATTAATTTGTAGTATTACGATTCACTCACTATTGGTAAATATTGTGAAAAGAGAGACCCTAATCTTGCTTTTATAGCGTATCAACGCGGTCAATGCGATAAAGAACTTGTTAAAATCACCAATGAGAACTCAATGTTTAAACATCAAGCTCGATATTTGGTAAAACGACGTGACTCTAATTTATGGGCGTTTGTTTTGGATGAGAATAACATGTACCGCAGATCTTTAATTGACCAAGTAAATATTACTTAATTATCTTATTCTCTCGTATTGCTTAAAGTTGAAAAAAAAAATTTTTCCTTTTTTTTATTTAGATTAATGCTGTAGCTTTACCCGAGTCTATTGATCCAGATGATGTTTCTTTTACTGTCAAAGCGTTCATGAATGCCGATTTGCCAATTGAATTAATTGAACTTTTAGAGAAACTGATCTTAGAAAACACGGCTTTCAGTGATCATAAAGTTCTCCAAAATTTGCTTATCCTCACAGCCATTAAGGTAAGTTTACTTTACAGAATCACTCGTACGCAGTTGTAAAAAAAAAAAAAAAAAAAGCTACCGAGATAAATGTTTCAATACTTTACTAACATACATTTAATTATAATAGGCTGACAAAGCTAAAGTGATGGATTATATCAACAGGCTTAACAACTTTGATGCTCCTGATGTCGCTGATCTCGCTATTAAAAACAATTTGTTTGAAGAAGCGTTCACCATTTACAAAAAATGTAAAGATGATAAAAACGCAATGAATGTATTAATTGAACATATTGGAAGTATAGACCGAGCTGCTGATTATGCAAATGTTTGTGATCAGCCAGAAGTATGGAGTCGTTTAGCGAAAGCACAGATTGAAGGTCTAAGAATTAAAGATTCAATTGGTACGTTATATTAAACATTTATAAAAAATTTTTTTTTTTTTTTTTTACGCTAATTTATTTGTATTTGTCAGATTCATATATTCGCGCCGATGATCCAACCAATTTTAGTGAAGTAATTGATATCTCAGCACGTGCTGGAAAATACGATGACCTTGTTCGATATTTACAAATGTGCCGCAAGAAACTTCGCGAACCTCAAGTTGACAGCAAATTATTATTTGCTTTTGCAAAGACAGAACGATTTCATGATATAGAAGAATTTCTTAACACGCCTAATGTAGCTCAAATACAAGTAGTTGGAGACGGGTGTTACGATGAAGGTTTATTTGAAGCTGCAAAGATCCTGTTTATGAGCGTCTCAAATTGGGCAAGACTGGCTTCTACACTTGTTCATCTAGGAGAATATCAATCTGCTGTCGATTGTGCAAGAAAAGCTAGCAGTACAAAGTAATATATATATATAAATATATATATTGTCAGTTCAAATTATCTATGATTATAACTTATATAATTTCTTTATTTAATTAAGAGTTTGGAAAGATGTACATAACGCCTGCGTACAACACAAGGAATTCCGCTTAGCTTATATATGTGGTCTTAATCTTATTGTTCATGCTGATGAGTTACAGGTTATTATTCATTATTAAAGATTTGACTGCATTTTTATCAGAATTTACCGTTAATTTCTTTATTTAATTTGACTTTATAGGAAGTTATTCGCCAATACGAATACAACGGTTATATAGACGAATTATTACAGCTTCTTGAAGCTGGCCTTGGTCTTGAAAGAGCACACATGGGAATGTTTACTGAACTAGCAATTCTATACACGAAATATAAACCAGAGAAAACAGACGAGCATCTACGCCTATTTTGGTCTCGTCTTAACATTCCAAAAGTCATCCGAGCTTGTGATGAAGCGCATTTATGGAAAGAGATGGTATTCTTATATGAGAATTATGATGAATTTGATAATGCTGCTCTTTCAATGATTACACATGCTAGCGATGCATGGGAACACTCACGTTTTAAGGATATTGTTGTCAAAGTCAGCAACCTCGAAATATATTATAAGGTCGTTCGATTTAAAATTTATTTTTTTATTTTTATTTTTTTATTCGATATTTGTGCTTAATAAAATTTTATTAATTCCTTATAGGCATTGAAATTTTATTTGGATGAGCATCCCCTCTTATTAAGTGATTTATTAGTCGCTCTTACTCCAAGAATTGATCACACTAGAGTTGTTCAAATGTTCAAGAAATCCGATAACTTACCATTGATCAAATCATATTTGATATCTGTTCAAGAGGTATACATCTTATTTAATGTTTAATATATATGGTGCACTTAACTAAAAGCTTCTCTCTTCATTTATAGACAAATAATTTAGCGGTTAACAATGCTTATAATGATATATTAATTGAGGAAGAAGATTATAAATCACTACGAGACTCAATTGATAACTTTGATAAATTCGATAATATTGAGTTAGCTCAAAGACTTGAAAAGCATGATCTCTTAGAATTCCGTCGCATTGCAGCGCATCTTTACAAGAAAAACAAACGATGGGCACAATCTATTGCTTTATCTAAGGAGGATAGACTTTTTAAAGATGCTATTGAAACAGCCAGCGAATCACGTTCCACCGAAGTTGCAGAAGAGCTTTTAGAGTATTTTGTACAGATTGGAAACAAAGAATGTTTCACAGCGTGTTTGTACGCATGCTATGATTTAGTTAGATCGGATGTTGTATTGGAGATGTCTTGGAAGCATGGTCTTACCGACTTTGCCATGCCATACTTGGTTCAAGTCATGCGAGAATTCAGCAACAAGGTTTGTCTTATTTATGTAATATATAGCTTAAAGTTTATAGATATTATAACGTATTTCTATCTTAAAATATAGATCGATATTTTGGAGAAAGCTAACGCAGAAAGAACAGCTAAAGAACAGGAACGTGAAAAGAATGAAAGTGGTATTTATCACAATTTCATATTTTGAATTTATCTTTCACATAATACTTATTATATGATATGTACTTTAAATAATAGAAATACCACTCATAAATCCAGCCGGATTAGGAAATCAACTTCTACTTACACAAGGGCCAGGACAAGGGTAAAAATTTAATTTCCAATTTTTTTTTTTTTTTTATTAAAGTTTATTACCGTCAGTGAGACAGACTAACCTGATTTTATTATACTTTTCAATCTTGTCATTTAATTAGAATGGCACCTCAGGGGTATGGCAATGCTTACGGTAACATAAATAATATGAACTATCAAGGTTTTTAAAATTATGAACATTTTTTATTCGATAAAATATTATTACAAGAAGAAAGATTCTTTAGAAAAAGCCACTTAAATAATAACGACAATCTATCTACCTGTTAAGAACAGAATAATTAGTAATACTTTCTTTATATAAATCAAAAAAAAGCTAGTTTTAAATGAGGTTGTATATATATAATAATTTTATATTATATAATAATATTATTTTTGAGAAAATTTTTTTTTATAATATACCAAAAAAATTTAATAAACAGAAAATATTAATAGAAATCCTTTGCTATTCTAAAAAATCATATGACTGAAATTTATGGCGGAATAAAAATCTTTTCTATTTTAGTAATGTAGTACAATGTGAACGTATACAAGTTATGCAAATCAAACACTTTTGAATAAAATCTTTCTCCTTTCCCCTTTGCAGATAAAAAAAAAAATAATTTATTCTCAACTGCGATAATGACGCATGAAACTGCTTCTACACCGCATACAAACGATTGTATAAAATCTGACCATCGTATGTTCTTTACTTTTGATCCAGAAAAATCGTCATTTTTATCTGGATATTTAGGTATAAATGTAACGACGATAACCGGAACATTATTAGTTAGATTTACACAAGCAATTAAAGCTAGAAAGATAAATTTGTATTTTATTGGAAGAGAAAAGGTTGAATGGGTGCATTTAAGAAAAATAAAAAAGGAGAAGATTATATTGAAACAACATGAAATTTTATGGGAATCAAATAATCCTATAGGATATGAATTAATAACAGATTTAACTTTACCATTTGAATTTCAAGTACCATCAAATGCTATAGAAAGTATTGATTCAAATTTTGGTCATGTTCAATATACATTAAAAGCTGTTATAAATAAAAAAATTAATAAAAAATTTTGGATTGAAGTTAAAGTACCAATTTGGAGATGGGCTAGACCATCAATTGAAGAATTAAAACCTTTAATTATTAAATCCAAAAGTTCACAACAGAGAAGACATCAGATTGAATGGGAAACTATATTACCAAAAACTTTTTTTGATATTAATTCAAATTTTAAAATTAAATTAAGAATGATTGTACAAGATCCAGATTTAAGAATAAAAAAAATAAGTACATCTTTAAAAGGGATTGTTAAATATTTTAATAATAATGATGATAATGATGATGTTGTTGGAGGTGGCGGTGGTAGTAATAGTAGCGATAACGATGATGATGATGATGATGATGATGATGACGATGGAAAAAAATTTTTACCATTTGAAAAAGAACAATATTTGTATAAAGGTGAAACAATTAATGGAAAAGATGTTGTAATGACACCAAGTGGTCTTGATACATTATTTGAAGCTAATATATTAATTAATATACCTGATGATGTTATTCCAACTTGTAAAACTAATTATATGAAAATTATTAATGAGATTCAAATCAAAGTAATGTTTGAAAGGTCAAATACTTATGTTTTAATTACAAGAGAAATTTTAATTGGAAGAAATTATGAAACAAGAGTTGAAAATTGAAATTTAATTGGGGAGAAAATATCAAGTTTTCCATTACACCGTATACCCCTGCTGTATTAATTTATTTAGTTTGTTTATTTTAATTTATTTATTATTTTTTTGTTACATTAAAATAATTTTTTTTTATTAATAAAATCAAATCTATATGTGTACATATATCCTTTTTCAGGAGGGATTCTCTTATAGTAAAATTTGAAGTTTTTTTCATAAAATAACAATCCCGAATGCGTGACCTACATACAGTACCTGAAAAAGGGCTTATTTATGAACTCTAAATTACCCGTAGCATATTTTACTTTAAATCTTTCAACTAATTACCGACATAAAAGATGTGTGAAAATTACCTTTGCACACAATTACCTTTTACACACATTCTATAATAATAGTCTGTAAACTTACACTGTGTATCAACTGAAACAAACAATGCCATTATTCTTGATTTCTACGAAATTGATTTCAAATTAAGGAGTGTCTATATAATAATAATAATCTGATCATTTTATTCATTTTATTATTATTATCACTTTCATCACTATAAATTCTGAAATTAGAATGTTTATAATATTCTCCTGTAAATTCTGTCATCATGTCAAATGTTCTGCTAAATTAATCAAGACCTGCGGGATTATCATCATCCCTGTGGGGCTTGTATCGCGAAAAAAACTTGATTATAAACTTTCGGCAAAAATCGTTATAAATTTTAATTGGGGTAACAAGGGCGATTTTTTAAAGTTCATCTGATTATCTTAATGAAAACATCTACAGTATTCTCCCTTTTAAGAGACACCTCTCTTTCACCATCAAGATTTCGGGATAACATTTCCATCATTGGATAGATGACTTGTAATACGGTAATTGATTAGTTTGAAATTGACGTATCACTAATAAACTTAGTTCCTTAAAAAGTAATGATAGCATACAATCGAGTGGCCCCTTCAATTATTGATTCATATTCTGATACGTAACCCGTGATCTATATTCTGTTAATCAGTACCCTGTGACATAAGCTTTTCAAGAAAAAATAGTAATTATGCAATGATACCGACAAAGGGAAATTTAGTAACTGAGAAAATTATATATAAGTGATGATTGATTGAGGTTTTCCAAGATTTTTCAAATTTTTTCCTTGAAAATTTTTTTCTGATCCTATATAAAAGGTAACTCAATTAGGATAAATTCTGTTTCAAAAGAATTCTTGTGACCACAATTTATGATCTAATTGGAGTTGAAATATTTTTAATATTTGATATTTCTAAATGACAACATTTTTAGATAATTGTTTTAAGAATGTGAGAAAAGAGCTTCGTAATTTGTTTCATATTAGTAATCATTAGATGAATATATTGTATATAATTTTCCATATACCACGAAGGTAAAGTTGAAGATCGCATTAATATATGAGCATATATTTGAAGTTTTTGAACTCTTATCTAAATCAAGTAAAATTTTGGTAATATTTTGCCACAATTTAGTCTTGTTGCAAACAAGAAATATATATTCTTTTTTTCTCATATTATTGGCGATGATACATGATACATGATACACTTGTCCTATTATTTTTGCTTATGTTAAACCAAAAAAGGTGTGATTAATTAAAAAAGCCTCAGATGAGTTCAAAAAATATTTCAACAAAAGGGTTTATTTTTTTATTTTTTCGATCAGTTAGTTGGAATTTACAAGACAGTTTTTTAATATTATAAAAAATTTTCTTTTTTTATTTTTTTTTTAATATTCCTTCTATTCCTTCTCTCTAAAAACATGATTGAAATAATGTTACAAGGGTAATTCTTATATACAAGGGGTAAATTTTGTTAAAAAATATAAAATTTCCGGGTAAAAAGTTATCCAGAATTTCGAATCAACCTGTCGATCTTTGACATCATAAGCATAAATGTTTGTTTGTAACATTTGTTACATGTGATAATCCGTACGTAATCAAATAATTCCCGTGTTGTAAATGTATTATACAATATATTTTTTATACAATAAATATATTTTTTTTTTAAAAAAAAAAAAGGGGGGATTAGATTTCCTTTTTTATTTGTTTAAACGTTTTTCATTTTTATCTAAAAGAATTCTCTAAAAGAAGAATTTATATTATTTTTTCATACATGTATAATAAAATGAGTAAATTTCATGATCGTAATAACATTAGATATCAAGAAGAAAGTGAAGATTCAGATTCAGAATTAGAATATCCTGTTCAAAAAGATTTTAAGAAAGAAAGATATAACGATGAAGATGGAACCTCTAATATATTAAACAAAGAAGAATACGAAAAAAATGAAGAAGAAGAAGAAGATGATGATGATATCGATGAGAAAGATATTGAAGAGGAAGATACTGAAGAGGAAGATAATGAAGAAGATATTGATGAGGAAGATACTGAAAACGAAGATACTGAAAATGAAGATACTGAAAATGAAGAATTCAATGATTGGGAAGATTATTGGGGAAATAATCCATATTTAGAATTCATTGATTTAGACAATCAACAAGAAATATTTTGGTATTCAAATCCACAAGAAGAACAAGAATGTAATATTAATTCATTTGAAGATTTTCTCTTTTCTTTAAATGGGATTGAATCATTAAATGATTTAAGAGGATATAGTGATGTAAATGAACAAAATAATAGATTTGTTATGTTAGGAGATAGTTTAGCAAGTGGAGGAGCTTACGAATATTATAATAATGATGGTAGTTATTATAGTCAACGTGCCGATGGAAGTATCGTCAGAAGAGATAAATTTGGAAGAGAACGAATTACGCCTCCCGAAGAAAATCCTAGAATGGGGAGAAGGTATCGTCCATACTAATTGATGCTCTCTCGTGATTTGATAAAAAAACGTTTATTTTTGTATATTTTTTTTGTTGATACTACTTGGTAGCCCAAATAAATACCAAATTGATATAAATTTTTTGATATGTAACATATTAGTGGTTTATATAAATTGGTGTAAAAATTTGTTTTAAAAATGCAAGTTATCGTCATTTAATTACTAAATTTGAAATTATCACGTGACTTTGACAACTAATTTGATTGACAATACATATTGTAACCGATCATCCTCAAAAAAAAAAAAATTTGAAACGAATAAGAACGTAACCCTTTTCAAAATTTCTTTAAAAGTTAATCATTTGACAAGGTTCATCTTTTAATTAACGGAGTATATAATTAAAAAAGTAAAATAATTACTTTTTTTAATTTTAAACTGTTTAAGGAAAAAGATGAAATGTGGCGTTTAACGGATCTTTTTTATTCATTATTGATCATTACTCTTTTTTTTTATAATTTTTAATTAATTCCCTTTTTAAACATCCGAAAAAAATATTTCACGTTTGATCATCATTTATATTCTCCTTTTTTTTTCCATTCAATCAAAAAATTTTGAACATTTCGGAATAATTTCCATTATGATGTTCTGCTAATCAAGTAACTTGTGAAAAAAGAGAAATTTCCATCATAATTAAAGTTCAACAAAATTCCATTTTTTCTATTTTCCGGATTTTCAAAAAAAAAGGGCCATTCACATTTAAAAAAAATTTGCTTGGCAACGGACGCAGTAAAGAAAATCTTTGCGATTTTTTTTTTCTTGTTTGACGACGCAGTAAAGAAAATCTTTGCGATATTGAGGGATTATATGGATTCATACGATTCATTAAGATTTATACGATATTATGATGTAAGGGAATTTATAAGATATTATGATGTAAGATATGAATTTATGATGTAAGGTATGAATTTATATTTATACAATATATGATATATGATTTGTGGTTCATATGATTTGTACGATTCAAACGGTTCAGTTCATACGGTTAAGTTTATCCATACGGATTATACATTTTAAATATTACATAAGCATTTTTTTTTTTTTGGTATCAAACCTAAAATCAAAAATAATGTTTTATTTTTTTTTTTTATTAAACAATTAAAAAATTGAAAAAAAAAGATGAATACTTGAGTTGATATATTACAGTAATTACAAAAAGGATTAGAGAAAAAAAAAAGGGTTAGAAAAAAAGAAAATAAATTTTTTGTTTTTTAAAATACATATATAT